AGTTTGACATAGTTCACTAAAGAAACTAGAGCCAACATCTTCTAGTTACAAATTAGCTTTGGCTAGGAAAGGTTCTGGTCTGGCTTAAGCTGCTTACTAGATCTGGTCTGGTTTAAGCTGCTTACTAGATCTGGTCTGGCTTAAGCTTCTTACTAGATATGGTCTGGCTTAAGCTGCTTACTAGTTCTGGTCTGGATTAAGCTGCTTACTAGATCTGGTCTGGCTTAAGCTGCTTATTAGATCTGGTTTTTGAATTGAATCGAGAAAAAATGTTTTTCGAGACGTTTTCATGTTAAATTTGAATTTTTGTCGCAAATTTTAAATGTTAATTTTATCATATTGTTAAATGTTAATTTTCGCGCGACGTCGCATTCCAATTGACGTCGCCGCCATTTGGAGGTAGTCGATGGGAGCGCCGCGTCGTCGTTTCTTTTTCGTTTTCAAATCATTTTTTTTGTCAGATTAATTGAAAGTATTGTTTTACGCGATAAATTTTGTGTTGGAATGAGAAAGCAATCAATTTCCATTTGGGATTTGGGAGCCGAGTGGAGAATCTGAAACTTTTCGTAGCCGGACCACAATGAAGGCCAAAACTAGCTGTGAAATGGTTTGGGGAATTGAATGGAAGCAACGAAAGCAAGACTCATCTTCTGGACCGTTACAAAACTGAATCGGTTCGGTCTAATTTCGAAGCAAATCGCTCAAATTCGATTCGATTCGAAAAATTTTGATTTTCGGTCCGAAACGATTCGTTTCGAAGTTTTTCCGTTTTCGGTCTGACATGTAACGTCAATTTGAATATCCGTCTCAAGATTAAATGTTAATGTTAATTTCTTTTTGTTAAATAGTAATTTTGATGCTACGTCGCGTTCCTATTGACTCCGCCGTCGTCACGTCGTAAGCTGGTTTTGTCGTAAGCTGGTTTTGTCGTAAGCTGGCTTTGTCGGAAGCTGGCTTTGTCGGAAGCTGGCTTTGTCGGAAGCTGGCTTTGTCGGAAGCTGGCTTTGTCGGAAGCTGGCTTTGTCAGGAAGCTGGCTTTGTCAGAAGCTGGCTTTGTCAGAAGCTGGCTTTGTCAGAAGCTGGCTTTGTCAGAAGCTGTCTTTGTCAGACGGATCTAGCCTAAAAATAATCACTTGGAAAAGGGAAAATCCGGAAAATTTGGCAAAGCAAGTTACTGTTTTTGCCAAGATTACGAACTTTGTTAGCGTTTTTTTGAGGCGCATTTCGCTCAAAAGCACCTTTTAAGCAGACTTTCGCGTTTTTAAGCAGACTTTCGATAAAAGACGAAAATTTTCACGTAATCTGATTAACTTTCGATATCTGATTGTTACAGCTTTGTTAGGTGCAACTTGCTGACATTTTTGCATCACTCAACAAGCGAAAGCATTTTGTTTTACTCGGTCAGTCATCTTGCCCCCAAGCTTACAATGAATGTAATGTAAATGGCGAATGGGAAACAGACTTTGCCTGAAACAAGGCCGACAATCGGGAGCCATTGATGGGGAAAATCAGATTTAACTCGACGCTTAAGTTTTTCTGAAACTTGAACATAGTTCGCTAAGCTTAAATTTAAGCTAAAGTTAAATATTTCCAGCAAATTTGAATTTGTTTGCAGTGAAGTGAGTTGAATGTAGAATTTTGCGATATCAGATTTCAATTCTTTTGAAAGAGTTTTTAAAAACAGCAAATATTCGTTTTTTTTTTGCAATTTTTCCTTTTCTATTTAAATATTTTTATCTTGTTTATTTCAAAGAATCATTTAATTCATTTTTCGAGCCAAAGCTTTGGAGAGAGCTTTGAAGAAAGCTTTCTCCAAAGCTTTCTCCAAAGCTTTCTCCAAAGCTGGACAATGCTTTGGACTCATCGAGAGACTCAGTTAAAGCAAAATTACGTGTCAAAAATCAAAACATTTTTAGAGCTTTGTTTCAAAAATTGAAAATGCATTTAGAGTGAACACTTTTTGTGTTGGCTTTATTTTCTTTTCCCTCTTCTATTTTCTTGTTTCCCTTTTCCCGTTTCCCTTGTCGAATTCCGTTGAGAATTCCAATCTTTGACATTTTCATTCAAAAAACGTCTCACTTCTTTTTTTTCACCCAACAACTCCCTTGGATTTTGAGGTAAATTTTAAAAATAACTAACTCTTTGGCAAGCTTAAAAAGCTTAGTAAAAAGCTTAGTAGAAAGCTTAGTAACTTGAGATTAATTAGGAAACTTATAGGGAATAGGTTACCGTACTTTGTCCTTCACAAATGCACGTTTTTTGACTAGCTTCTGACAAAGCGAGTTTCTGACAAAGCGAGTTTCTGACAAAGCGAGTTTCTGACAAAGCGAGTTTCTGACAAAGCGAGTTTCTGACAAAGCGAGTTTCTGACAAAGCGAGTTTCTGACAAAGCGAGTTTCTGACAAAGCGAGTTTCTGACAAAGCCAGCTTCTGACAAAGCCAGCTTCTGACAAAGCCAGCTTCTGACAAAGCCAGCTTCTGACAAAGCCAGCTTCTGACAAAGCCAGCTTCTGACAAAGCCAGCTTCTGACAAAGCCAGCTTCTGACAAAGCCAACTTCTGACTAAGCCAACTTCTGACTAAGCCAGTTTCTGACTAAGCCAGCTTCTGACTAAGCCAGTGACATTTTGCTATCAATGATATCATGCAATCCTGTTTGATATCTTTGAAAATTAGTCAATGAAGCGCACCAGGAAGTAAGCGTTTGCAAGAGCACAGGCTCTAAGGCAGCTTTTTTTTAAACTAACAGATCCAACAATAGCAGATCTAACAATAGCAGATCCAACAATAACAGATCCAACTTTTTGTGAAATCGATTCTCTTGTCCAATTTTTACATTCTCTTCTCCAATTACATCAATGCTTTCATTATTATTTTCTCATTATCTTTTTTTGTCCAAATTTTCACTCGATTAAAACTTTCATTACTTTTTTTTTGTCCTCTCTTTCACTTCACCGGCGATTTTCCCAAGCAAGACAAAAATTTGACGCACGCTTATTAGGCGATTGTTGTGTAACGACGAAAGGGGAGAAGCGAGAAGGAAAGTGAAGCCAGAAATTGAAAACTTTACTTTTTCCGAAGAACTTTCAAGGTACTTTTCTGTTATATTTCTGTTATAATTCTGTTATATTTCCCTTTGCATCAAATCGAATATATCCCGGCAAAAATTCACATTTTAAAAGCTTCACAACAACTGCTTTTACGTGCTTTTGCGGATATGCAAATTTTGAACTTTTGCAGATATGCAAATATGCAAATTTTAATAAGACTTTATAATAAAAGGATAATATAACAGGATTGTACCGGGCTTTCAATAGGTTTCTTTTAGCTTTTTAATTGTCTTTTTAATTGTCGCCTTGTCTTCATCAATTGCTTTTTGTCGCCTTGTCTTCATCAATTGTTTTGTTTAAGAATTGGAGATGTTAAAACTGATTAGGCTGGCACGTAAAGTCTAGAGTCTGGCTCTGATTACCGTTTAGAGCGTTGCTGTTGGATAGTTATTAATCTTTAAATGACAACAAAGCTAGGTCTAGTTTAAATGGCACAAAATCGTACAAAAACATTGATCTGGATTTGACTGACCTAGGCCAGATCTTTTCCCTTCTTGGCCCTGCCAAATAGCGGCCAAGTAGCGGTCAAGTAGCGGCCAAGTAGCGGCCAAGTAGTGGCCAAGTAGCGACCAAGTAGCGGCCAAGTAGTGGCCAAGTAGCGGCCAAGTAGTGGCCAAGTAGCGGCCAAGTAGCAGCCAAGTAGCGGCCAAGTAGCGGCCAAGTAGCGACCAAGTAGCAGCCAAGTAGCGGCCAAGTAGCGGCCAAGTAGCGGCCAAGTAGCGGCCAAGTAGCTGCCAAGTAGCGGCCAAGTAATGAGGTGAAATCTGGCCCTCCGCCGGAGTATTTAAAACATTTTTAACACAAGATTATTGCTAGTTTTCATCTTTCAAATCACAGTAAAATCCTTCTATCTTCTGTGTCTAACTAAAAGATCTAACTAACTTTCTTAAGATCATTTATTTTCCTTTCTTTTTCTATAATTCTTTTTCCCAACGGGATTCAGTGTGAATGATTCACAAAATCGGCAACTCTTTCCACTTTCTCTATACAATTACTTCAAATAAAAGATTTAATCTAAATGTTTTTCTAGTTTTTCAAAAAAAACAATGATGTTTATGATCTTAAAAAGGTCTCATGAGCTCTCATGAGCTCTCATGCTCATTGTTGCTGCTCATTGTTGCGTTCTTTCATCTCTCATCGATGATTATTTAAGGAAGAATTGGGATAAAAGAGCTAAAAAGGGGGAAAGCGAGGAAAAGCGAGGAAAAATGAGAAGGAGTAATCACGTTGTCTCTTCTGGATGAGAAGAGGGTGGATGAGGGAGTGAGCGAGGAAAGGGAAAGGGGTGTAGATGGCATGTGCTCACTATCAAATGGACTTTGTCCCTTTGTCCTGGCAACACTTCATTCAATCACTCTTTTCTTTTGAAATAACATGTATTGGAAATAGTTTTAAATTAAAATGTGCACTATTGACTTTATTGGAAACAGGTTTTTCAAGGTGGCGATCAGCTAGGGGTAGAGCTAAACCAGATTCACTAGCTAAACCAGACTCAGTACAGATCTAGCTCTGGCTTTTGAAGCCAGCTCAGGTCCAGGAAAATTGTGAGCCAGATCAAGCCCAAGGAAATTGTTTTTAGAGTCTCTTTCAAAGCCCTCTTACACTTGAGCTTTGCATAATATGGATTCTTAAAGTTCAAGAGCTTTGAAGAGCTGTAAGAGAGCTTTGAAAGAGACTCTAATTCTTGACTAAAGCTCTGCTAACGAATCCATTAGACTCATTGTTCTCAAACTCTCATTGCTCTCAGACTCATTGCTCTCAAAATCATTTCCCTAAAAGAAGAACATCCGCATTTCTCAAAATGTTTTGGAAAAAATGAGGATTTCAGGCTATTTATTGAGGGTATAAGAGGGGATCTCACCCCATCCGAAATCCCATTTCCATTCCAAAGAAGAAGAAGAAGAAGAGGAAGAAGAGGAAGAAGAAGAAGATGAAGAAGAAGATGAAGATGAAGAAGAAGAAGACGAAGATGAAGAAGACGAAGATGAAGAAGAAGAGGAAGAAGAAGAAGAGGAAGAAGAAGAAGACGAAGATGAAGAAGACGAAGATGAAGAAGAAGAAGAAGAGGAAGAAGAAGAAGAGGAAGAAGAAGAAGACGAAGATGAAGAAGACGAAGATGAAGAAGAAGAAGAAGAGGAAGAAGAAGAAGAAGAAGAAGAGGAAGAAGAGGAAGAAGAAGAAAAGGGGCTAAAGGAATCCTCCCCATAATAAGGTGTCCCATCTTGTGCAGTGTGAGGCCCTTTCAACCCTTTCAGCTCTATAAAGCCTCCTCTCTTTTTTTGGCTTTTTGTTGCACACCTCTTTCTCCTCCAAGAAACGATCCCAATTTGTGATGCCCCTCACCGATAAAGGAAAAAAGGGGAGAGTACGGGGAAAGGACCATGAATAGACCCAAACAGCCACAGAGAACCCCATAGACTTTCTATGAAACTTAAATTAATTGATCGTGTGAGCCCAGAATTCGACTATTTACTTCCGTTTTTTTTTTTTGGGGGAAACCTTTCTTTGATCTTGGCTTTGTATAAGATTTGTTGTGATGAAGCAAAGTTTTTAGAAGGGTTTATTTATTGACATCAGAGTGCAAACACCACAAATCTTATAGTTTATGAATCCAGAAGTCAAGCCAAGCCAAGCAAAGCCAAGCAAAGCCAAGCAAAGCCAAGCCAAGCCAAGCCAAGCCAAGCAAAGCCAAGCCAAGCCAAGCCAAGCCAGGTTCTTAGTCAATTCTCTACCTGATCTTTCTATGTCTCTAACTTGTCATAGCCTTTTGAAAAGAGATCAAATCTTATAGAATCGGCGACGCTAAGTTCGAATCTGCTTTTAGTTTTTGCCCTCAAGCCCTATAACGCAAGATATCTTGTTTAAAAGTTGTAGTTGCATTTTTGATCTTTATTTAAGGCCACCTTCGGTCATCGCTTAGAATCTGGTTGTGACTGAGGGGATACTGCTTTCACAAGGGAAGATCACAAGGCTGAGGTGACCAAATGACATGAGCCATATACTATACAACGCAGAATGTTTCCCTGATTCTGATGCTGCGATTCGTTTCTGTAAAATGATTCGGAAACGCGAGGAATCTGGGAAAAAAAGTTTGTGATCAAATTAATTAATCAAAATCAAATTAATCAAAAATTAGAGGTCAAAAATCAGTTCCTATCTAAGGCTTCTTTCACTGTCTCGAGGCTATAGAAGGCTTCTTTCACCGTATGCCGCTGTGAGCTTGTGGTCTAGTGGATAAGAGTCTTGTTTCCGAAACAAGCTATGAAGTTTTTGCTCGGGTTGGGATACCTTCTTGATCTCCAAACTTGATTTTGTTGATCCCTTCCTTTTCTTTTCATTTTATTTTGATGTTTAGCCGCTCGATTGGCTCTATTTTGGCTCTCGATTGGCTTTACAATAAGTTAAAATAGAGCAACTTTCAATTATATTAAAATAGAGATCTTTCATTTACATTCATTCACTTTATGGATATTGCTGCTTAATTCGTTTGTTATTTTGTTTGTTATCAATTAAAAGAAAAACTAGAAGTTGATTTGAACTCAGTTTGGCTGATTCTATAAGATTAGTTGTGGTCTCTTTCCAAAAAGTGTGCTTATGCTGTGCAAGTGCTTGCCTTTCTCGAGTAATGGATCAGTTTCTTTTGGTCAGATTTCTCTAGTGATTGGATCAGTAGATAAAGATATAAGCCCGACAAAGGGAAGGTCACAAGGCTTCTTGAAAGCTTCACAAAGCTTCTTTCAGCTTCTTGAAATGCGAGCTTGTGGTGTAGTGGATAAGAGTCTTGTTTCCGAAACAAGCTATGAAGTTTTTGCTCGGGTTGGGATACCTTCTTGATCTCCAAACTTGATTTTGTCGATCCCTTCCTTTTCTTTTCATTTTATTTTGATGTTTAACTGCTCGATTGGCTCTATTTTAACTTTGCAATAAGTAGATATCTTTTAATTCTAAGATCTTTTAATTCTATAAGATCTTTTAATTCTATAAGATCTTTTAATTCTATAAGATTAGTTTGGTGTCTTTCCAAAAAGCCACAACAAGTCCTTGCCTTTCTCTAGTAAGAATCATTATCATTGTCTCCGTTTTCATAGACTTGCTTAAAGGATCGACTTTCTGCTCGAGAATTGAAAATAGAACCAATTGAAAACAGAACCTTTCTAGTGAGCGAGAAATATTTTAGCTTACAATTAACAGCCTTGCTTAGCAGCTTTGATTAACAGCTTTGATTAACAGCTTTGATTAACAGCTTTGATTAGCAATTAGCAACTTTAACTTACAATTTCCAATTACCAATTCCAATTACAAGTCTGAAGTCTATTTGATTCCAATTTCCCCTTCAAATCACTCACCAATGACACTCTGCATGACAATTTAATTTACATATTCATCTCAATTTATTTTATTACATATTTTTAAGTAGTCAAAGAGAAAGAAGGGATTTTCTAAATCTTCTAGCTTTTTCCACGAAACATTTCCATGAAGCATTTCCATGAAATGTAGCCTCGATGACAGCCTACAATCTAATTTCAGCTTGAATTTGTGTCCTTTTCACAGAAACCTTTTGATACAATCAAACGAGATGATCAAAGCTTTAGATCTATACAGTAGATCTATACAGTAGATCTATGCAGTAGATCTATACAGTAGATCTATACATAATTTTAATATACTTAAATTTTGGGATTCAGATACAGTGTGTTCCTCTCGAGTAATACGTTTTCTAAGAAGCACCTAAGAAGCACCTAAGAAGCACCTTTTCTTCTTTTCTAAGAAGAAAAGTACCGTAGCCAAACCGTTAGTTTACATTCAATCAACCCGATTTTCGTATCATTGACTTAGCATTGTAATTGATATTGAATTTAATTGAATGAGACCAAAATTGAGTACTTTTGATTTTGAGTTGATTGGGTTTCTAGATCTGGAGTTATGGGCCATTTAATTTTAGACCATTTAATTGGATCGACTCTTCTAAGTGGATAGTCTGACTTTGACAGAGATTTTCTCTATAAATGTAAACTAACGGTTTGACTAGGGTACTTTTCTCAAATAAATGCATTCTAAAAAAACGCATTACTCTAGAGGAACACACTCAGGGTTGGGTAAAATTATCCGGACAACTTTTTTCTTATTCTCGTAATTCTCGCAATTTATTTCAAAGTGACAAGTGTTATGCAGAGAATTGTAGCCCTTAATCTTAGCTACATTTATCTACTAAAAACTTTCCAATCGGATTTATGCAACTCATTTAACAAGTCTTTGAAGTCACTAGTCGACCTCTATTTAAGCACTAGTCGACCTCTATCTTCAAGGACTTGTTAAATGAGTTGTATAAGTCCAATCTGGAAGTTTTTGGTAGCAAAATGTAGCTAAGATTAAGGGCTACAATTCTTTGCATAACACTTGTCACTTTGAGATAAATTGCGAGAATTACTTCTCCAAAAAGTTGGGTAATTTTACACAACTCTTTAGATTTTAAAGTTTTTGATTCAGTCAATCATTGCTGACAAACAATGGCATTGCTGACTGGCGTTGCTGACTGGCATTGCTGACTGGCATTGCTGACTGGCATTACTGACTGGCATTGCTGACTGGCATTGCTGACTGGCATTGCTGACTGGCATTGCTGACTGGCATTGCTGACTGGCATCCTGCTGCTGGCGGCGCGGCTGACTGGCATTGCTGACTGGCACGGCTGACTGGCATTGCTGAACTTCAAAAAACTATTGAGCTTTTATTTTGAGATTTTTTGCCAACCATTTGAGTCTTATCTATCTCATTTCGTACACCAGAATTCATTATATTATTATTTGAAACGTTTTCAATTCAATTTCAATTTCTCCTAAACATTCTTCCACTTTTTTAGTAAGATTTTTCTCATTATATTCATAGTTTTTATAAATTTCCAGGATTTCTCTCGAATCCGGATGGATTGGGGCAATTTAACTTTATCCGAACAAGATGAGAGACTTTTCCCGGAATGGTGGTTCCTCTCGCTCTCCATCGTTCCATTTGCTTGCATTCTTGGTAAGTTTTTTTGAAAAATAATGATATATTAGGTACAGGCATAAGAAATGCGAATTTCATTTCTTTCTTTTCATTTTCTTTCAACTTACGCTCTATTTAAATTTCTGTAAATGCATTTCCGTTAGTTCCATTCATCGTTTCATATCGATGAATGTTGTTTAAGCTTGTTTAAGCTTATTTAAACTTGTTTAAGCTTGTTATAAACTTGTTTCAACTTGTTGTAAACTTGTTTAAACTTATTTAAGCTTGTTTAGACTTGTTTAGACTTGTTTAAACTTGTTTAAACTTGTTGTAAACTTGTTTAGACTTGTTTAAACTTGTTTAAACTTGTTTATACTTGTTTAAACTTGTTTAAACTTGTTATAAACTTGTTATAAACTTGTTTCAACTTGTTGTAAACTTGTTTCAACTTGTTGTAAACTTGTTTAAACTTGTTTAAACATGTTTATACTTGTTTATACTTGTTTATACTTGTTTAAACTTGTTTAAACTTGTTGTAAACTTGTTTAAACTTGTTTAAACATGTTTATACTTGTTTATACTTGTTTAAACATGTTTATACTTGTTTATACTTGTTTAACGTTACTTAACTGTTAACTTGTTGTAACTTGTAAACTTGTTGTTTAAACTTGTTTAAACTTGTTTCAACTTGTTGTAATGAACTTGTTTAAACTTGTTTATACTTGTTTAAACTTGTTTAAACTTGTTTAAACTTGTTTAAACTTGTTGAAACTTGTTTAAACTTGTTTAAACTTGTTTAAACTTGTTTAAACTTGTTGTAAACTTGTTTAAACTTGTTTAGACTTGTTTAAACTTGTTTAAACTTGTTGTAAACTTGTTTCGACTTGTTGTAAACTTGTTTAAACTTGTTGTAAACTTGTTTAAACTTGTTTAGACTTGTTTAGACTTGTTTAAACTTGTTATAAACTTGTTATAAACTTGTTTAAACAATAAACTTGTTATAAACTATTTGAAAGTTGTAAATCTCCTCTACAAAATAGGCTAAAACTTGTTTCAATTGATCGAAGCATTGAAGAGATTTCGAGGGCCAAATGCGAGTGACCAAAAGAAGGAATCGAGTCACTTTAGGGACAAGTTTAGTGTCGTCAAACCCCACTTTCACAAGAGTTCGCTTTTGACTATATAGTGGAGAATGAACGCCCTAAAATATCATTCAAAATAATTAAGAGTTGGGATCATTTCATGGGGAAACTTTTTTTTTACAATCATTTTTCTTCTTTGGTGAAAAAGCCGGTTTTTTTTTGACAATTTTGAGGGTTTTGTACTTACGCTCTATCTAAATTTCTGTAAATGCATTTCCGTTAGACTTTTTTAATGAATTCATATATAGTTATCCTTTTTTTCTTTAAATCTTCAATTTTGGGAAGCTAACTCTATTTTGACGCCACTAAACTTGTCCCTAAAGTGACTCGATTCCTTCTTTTGGTCACTCGTATTTCGTCCTCGAAATCTCTTCAATGCTTCGATCAATTGAAACACATTTTAGCCTATTTTGTAGAGGAGATTTACAACTTTCAAAGAGTTTTTAACACTCATCGATATCAGATATCGATCATCGATATCGATTTCTATTTCTATCGTGGCAAATTTTATGAAAATGTTAAAATCCGCGTTTCTTATGCATGTACCTAATAAATGCATTGTATATAACGAAGGATTAACTTATATTAACTTATAACTTATATTATTTACTTATACTTATTATTTAAAGCCTTTATCACATCATAAAACCATTATCTCAGGCTATCAAATGATCAAATCGTTGTTAAAGCAAAAAGTACAGACAAACAAACGTCTGACAAACAGACGGACGGACTCACATTTCAATTTCATTTCATTTATACATAACTTAGATACCAAAACGACTAACATCATATTTTGTACCCAAAATCCTCGCATGATCTCATTGTTGATTGACAAAATCTCATTGTTGATCTCATTGTTGTGGGTAAAACTGACATAAAGTTAGAGCCAAGTCTAGATCAGAAATGATTGATCCAAAATACAAATAGATGAGTTGGATACTTTGTCAAATATTTCCAAAATTAGCCAATTTCATTGCGAAATGATTTCGAGTTTTAATTCAGCTCTTTAATTCAGCTCTTTAATTCAGCTCTTTAATTCAGCTCTTTAATTCAGCTCTTTAATTCAGCTCTTTAATTCAGCTCTTTAATTCAGCTCTTTAATTCAGCTCTTTAATTCAGCTCTTTAATTCAGCTCTTTAATTCAGCTCTTTAATTCAGCTCAAAGCGTTAAACCTCAATTTTCCCTTGAAACCTCAATTTTCCCTTGAAATCCGCATTTCTTATGCATTTATCTAATACAGTGCTCCAACTAATTATAGAGCCACTTACATTTTTTAAAACTCAGTAGCGACTTTGAAGAGAAATCAATTAAATTCAACTTTGGTCAGTAGAGAATTTTTGTACTGATCTTTTCTATTCATTTTTATTTAGAAGTTGCTAACCGTCGTGACGCTTTATCTTTAAATTCAAAAAAATGACACTTTTCCGCTCCAACTAATTATAGAGCCACTCGGATTTTTGTTTGTAATTGTTTTTTTTTTCATTTTCATTTATTTATAATTCGATTGACTTTACTTTATTAAGTTATTTTTAGTTATGGCAAGAGGTAAAACGCTTTCCGACTTCGAGAAAGGACAGATCGAAGCATATAACCACGCTGGAAGGAGTAATCGAGAAATTGCTCGACTTTTGGGTAGAAGGCATCACCTCGTTGATAGTTACCTTACTGATCCAGCCATATATGGCACTAGAAAATCAACAGGACGAATTCCGCAAGTATCAGACCAAGATAAAAGGCGAATTTGGCGAGCGGCTTCCAACAGCACAATTACATGTCGCCAAATCAAACGAGAATTGGGATTGCGAGGCGTGCTCCAACGATAACCGCTCAAAATAAAGAAAAACGTTTGAAATTTTGTCAAAGAAACATGCGTCAGGATTGGTCTAAGGTTAGCAAAAGCACCAAGTTGAATTTTTCTTACGTTTCATAGTTTAGGTAATCTGGAGCGATGAAAAAAAATTCAATCTTGATGGTTGCGATGGTTTCAAAGCATATTGGCACGATATCCGAAAAGAACCAAAGCCTTTTTCACGACGAAATTTTGGCGGTGGAGGCGTAATGGTCTGGGGGTGCTTCACATCAACTGGAAGGATCAAATTAGCTTTTGTCCCAAAGAAAATCAATTCCGAAAGGTATCAGTGGATACTCCGACGATGTCTGTTGCCATTTTATCGCAAGAATTCCACTCAAAATTTTATTTACATGCAGGATAATGCGCCAATTCACGTTAGTGAAAGTACTCGAGGCTGGTTCCGGAGGCGCCAAATTCAACTTCTTGATTGGCCGCCAAATTCGCCCGATATAAATCCGATGGAGAACATTTGGGGAATACTAGCACGTCGAATTTACGAAAATAACAGACAATACGCAGGTCTTGGAGAATTGAAAAGGGTGATTATTAATGCTTGGCATACGATCGATCAAAAAATCATCGAGAACCTCATTTCAAGCAGGGATAATCGAATTTTCCAGGTTATAAAACTTAATGGTGAGGCTATTGATTATTGATTTGTCATTTAACCTGTTTACTTGTTATCCTTATAAACATTTCTTGATATTTTTGGAGTGGCTCTATAATTAGTTGGAGCGGAAAAGTGTCATTTTTTTGAATTTAAAGATAAAGCGTCACGACGGTTAGCAACTTCTAAATAAAAATGAATAGAAAAGATCAGTACAAAAATTCTCTACTGACCAAAGTTGAATTTAATTGATTTCTCTTCAAAGTCGCTACTGAGTTTTAAAAAATGTAAGTGGCTCTATAATTAGTTGGAGCACTGTAGATAAAGATATAGAAAACGATATAGATAAAGATATAGAAAACGATATAGAAAACGATATAGATAAAGATATAGATAAAGATATAGATAAAGAGAAAAGTTTATCTATAGCTCGTAGTTAGATCTGAGCCTTTGGATACGGTTCACCTTTGTGTGATACTGGATCCGGGGTTAAATTCGTCGGTTCTCCGACGAGAGTTACTCTGAATAAATCAGCTCAAAAGAGCTCGAAAGCTCAAAACAAGCGTTTCGCTTGAATGTTTTTTGCATGGAATAATGGAAAAGGGCTTCGGTTCCTTACTGTTGGTTTCGGAATTGAATTAATGATTAAGAGGGACCAACGGGGGCAGATATAGAAAGATATAGAAATTATAGATAAAGATATAGATAAAGAGAAAAGCTTATCTATAAAGATGAAAGATAAAGAATCAAAACGATCAATCAATCAATTGATTCATTCATTCATTCATTCAAAGTTCTCTAATAGTCACTATGAGCTAGTAACGATCGCTTTAACTCTTGTCTAGCTCTTGTCTAGCTCTTGTCTAGCTCTTGTCTAGCTAAAAATAGCTCTTGTCTAAACTCTTGATGACGTTATGAAGCCAAAAATAACCCAGACGTGTTTATTATGCAAATTTCGAAGCTCTAAAAGAGTTGAATAGAGGCTCGAATTGCAGCTGAATAAGGACCAATTGAGAAAAGGGAAAAGGGTGAAAAAAGATAATTTTAAAAGGCTTTAAAAGATAATTTTAAAAGGTTCATCAAAATAAACTTCAGGCAATTGTATGGTCATTGCAGCGGTTTGGACAACTCGATCACTTCAAACACCCACCAATCATTTATTGGTTTCGTTGGCGGTGGCTGATTTGATCGTTGGAGCTTTTGTTATGCCGTTTAGCATCTATTTATCGGTGAGTTAGTAGGCGAATTGATCTGAATTGATCCCAAAAACGAAAAGCTACGGCTAACGAAGTGAAAGGTAATGGTCAAAGGCTTTTAAAGGGTCAATGGTAATGGTCAAAGGCTGATCTTGGAATCTTAACCAGACTGTGCCGGGGTGGCGCAACGCCAGTGTGATTGTCTCTGTCTCTGGAGCGCCAGTGTGACTGTCTCTGTCTCTGGAGCGCCAGTGTTCTCGGGTTCAATCTCGCCCCCGGTTTATGGCTCAGAGATTGGCCCAGAGAAGCTTATTCAGCCATCTTTGCCTTCTCCTCACTGTCAGAACAAGCTATTGTTCAAGAATCTTCAAGAATCTTCAAGAATCTTCAAGAATCTTCAAGAATCTTCAAGAATCTTCAAGAATCTTCAAGAATCTTCAAGAATCAAGTTCAAGAATCAATCAATTCTATAGAATTGCTAATTTTAAGTTTCTGAGTAAACTACCGAAGTAAAGTGTTGAAAATAAGCAGTAAATTCTAGCAGCTTTATGGAGAATGGTTAACTCTAAAGCTATACACTAGAGAAAAATAGCTCATAATTCTTGAACAGCGTGTAGAGATCGTTCAATAAGAGTAGGGGGTTTGGGAGCCGCTGAGAATGTAGACGTTGGTTAAGTTAAGATCTAGCCTAGTATTTTGTGTCGAATTATGATTATCATGCCGAATAAACCTTGGTGTAAATCTTTATGTTGGCTTTCGCTTTGCCTAGGAATTTTGTTTTTTTGTCAATCCTGCTTGTAAATTTTCGAAATCTAGATAAATAGCAATTTAGCAAAAAGTAGCAATGTTTAAAAAGAGACTGTAAGCACAATTCTTATTTGGTTTAAAAATCTGAAAACACTGTAGGACTTGTAAGGTTAAATTATCCACTAGAAATGTGTTTGAATGGAATCGGACTCACAGAACCGATACAAGTCGATCCAATGGACTTTTGAGTCTATTTGATCCAATATTATGTCTATTATTTAATCAAATTAAATCAAATTAAATCAAATCGAATCAAATCGAATGAATTTCAGGTGAACGGCCTCCACTGGCATCTCCCGCAATTCATCTGTCATTTCTATTGTGTCGTTGATGTGGCCGCGAGTACGGCATCGATTGTTCATTTGGTGCTGATTAGTATCGACAGGTGAATGGAATGATGTATAAGAGGACAGGAACCAGAACAAGAACAAGAACAAGAACAAGAACAAGAACAAGAACAAGAACAAGAACAAGAACAAGAACCAGAACAAGAACAAGAACAAGAACAAGAACAAGAACAAGAACAAGAACAAGAACAAGAACAAGAACAAGAACAAGAACAAGAACAAGAACAAGAACAAGAACAAGAACCAGAACAAGGAACAGAGACCAAAAAAAGAACAAAAAGAAGAAGAAAGGAAAAAAGAAAAAAAAAAGGGAACAAAGCTCTCAGCTGTACTTTAATTTGTAAAAGCTAATCATTCAAGATTGGTGGCTGCCACAAAACCGGCCGAGTACAAGACGCCGAAACATCGGAAACGTGTTCATCTCTCGATAGCGATCACGTGGATCTTCAGTATTTGTATGGCACTGCCACTAGGTAAGAAATAGCAAAATAGGAGCAAAATACGAGCAAGATACGAGCAAAATACAAGCAAAAATCCTAGTGTACTCTAGCAAAAGTTACACTTGACTCATAAGTTTTTGTTGTTTAGAAATTTCCCCTACAAAAATATGAGATTTTCAGGAAATACGGATTTAACATTTTCAGGTACTGGCTTTAACACTCGTACCCGTCATTTTTTACTCACTGAACACCATTGTGGGATCTACAATCCGATCTACATGTTGAGCAGTAGCATCTTTGCCTTTTATCTTCCCTGTTTAATAATGCTGATCACTTATGGATATATTTTCTATACATTGAGGAAAAGACTGAGAGCAATTCAGTTACAAGTTTGAAAATCAAGAGAAATATCCACATCAAGAAACTTTCCAGGAAATGGCTGGCGGTCAATTCTTGGGCTTCGGCGCCGATGTGGGAAATATCACAACAGCTGCCATGCAGAGTGTCATTGGTGAGTGATTTGAATGAAAATTGGAAACAAATTGGAAACAAATTAATCAAATAGACACTTTCGTGCAATATTTTGATCTTTGTTCTTCTTATCTTTGTTTAAAAAGTTTTGTCTTCTGAATATACTTTCTTTTATTAGACTTCTAAAGGGTACGAGAAAAGTATTGTCGTTTTTTCAATCATCATATCTTTCTCTTGCAATTGTTTGGCAAGTCGTTGAACAGTTTTGATGTTGGTTTTGAGCTTTCTTTTGCTTTTGAGATGGCCGCCTTCGACTCTCCGACTTTCAAAAGCATCGCTTCTCGATGAGCGATCGCTTCTCGATGAGGGCAAGCTTGCATTTCTAGTCCCAGCTCCTTTCTAGTGCATAATACAAGTCCCAGCTCCTTTTTCACAATTTTCCGAACCGACCAATCCGAGATTTTCAGCTCCTTGGCCATTTTTCCTAAGCTTCGCTCGTCGTTTTGTTCAATTCGCTGTTTGATGAGCTTCCGGATGTTTGGCGTGTTCACCGATCGAAGTCTTCCTTTTTTCGCTTCTCCTTGACGTGTCCTTTCTCTTGCAATTGTTTGGCAAGTCGTTGAACAGTTTTGATGTTGGTTTTGAGCTTTCTTTTGCTTTTGAGATGACCGCCTTCGACTCTCCGGCTTTCAAAAACAATAGCGATCGCTTCTCGATGAGGGCAAGCTTGCATTTCTAAAAAATACACATTGAATGCTATGCACCATTCTAAAGAGGAAAAAAAAACTAAACAAAGTTCATGTTTTACACAAGGATACTTTCAAATCGCATAAAAGTTAGTTCAAAGAGACGCGACAATACTTTTCTCGGACCCTGTACACTGTCAATTCCTTTACTGGTACCTCACACCAGTTTGTCCCTTTTCTGAAAGACTCAGTTGCTTAGACGGGGATCGAGCCAGAGACGTGTGGGCTTCAAAAGATACATCTTAGCCACTACGCCACTCGGGATTGCGGCGGGGCGGCAGAAAATCGGGAGGGAGATTTGGTAGCTATTCGGGAGGAGATTTGGTAGCTAACACTAGTTTCTGGAAGAACCCGAGCCCGTATACTACGCTCCGGTGCGTCTTTGATCTTTACCTTTGGTCTTTCCAGTAAAGCTATGGACGTTTTACCGGAAAGATCAAAGGTACCGCCTTAAAGATCAGAGACGCCGCGGGAACTTTTCCCAGAGCGTGCTGCTCAGGGCGTGCTGCTCAGGGCGTGCTGCTCAGGGCCTTCGGCTGCTCAGGCCGGGATCGAACCAGGATCGTGTGGGCTCGAAAACATACACCTTAGCCACTACGCCATTTGGGATCGCGACGGGCCAACAAAAAAACCGTTTCATTCGGGGGCTTCTCCCAGGGGTGTCGATTTGTTTAGCGTGTTTGTCTAGGAAACTAACAGGGCTCGATAGGTCCCTGGTTCGATCCCGGGGCGGACAAATCCCAAATCTTTGCATTCCATTCCAAATTTCTTTGCAAAGATAGGAATGAATCAATTCTTGGCACAATTGCAATATTTGCAAAGATTTATAGAAGATTTCTTTGAAATTCCAATGTTTTCTGGGTTAAAGAGGGCTAAAGAGTCCTGAAATCCGGTGGAATTCGGAATTTTTTCCGGAAAGAAGTAAAGAATTTGAAAGAATTTTAACTTCCAGGTATTCCCGCCCAAAAACGCAACATGATCACCTGGGAGAAGCCGCTGCTGAGGAAAATCGAGGAGACGGCGATTGAGCACGCTAGTTCACTCAACGATTCCGAGAGGGAACAGGTTTGAAGAGATTGAAGAGGTTGAAGAGATTTGAGGAGAAAAGAGCTGAGCTTTTTCATCACTAGTCCACAGTATCGTGTGGGAATTCTCGTAAATGAAGAAGATTTCCAGCTACAAACGATTCTGGAAGCAGTCCAACCGTCATCAACGGGAAGTCAAGAGAACTCGACGATGGAGGACGATCCAGATAGGCCGCCATCGGTTGGTTGGAAATAGAAAGAAATAGAAAATTGGAAATAGTATTTGTTCCTGGGTATAAACGGATGTGGACTAGGGTTTGGGTTAAGTTAAAGTGGATCCCTTTTGAGTTAGAGTGGATCCCTTTTGATATCCCGCCATCTCTAACCCCCCGACAACCCAACTCAACCTCCTCCAACGTATTAGAGGGGAGTCCCTGTGAAATGACCAACTGTACTGCAGTTGCATAGACCCGGAAGATATGTATCTTTATTTACAGTAGTACAGTAAGACGAATAGCTTATAAATGAGTGTAAGGGGAAGGGGGACTCCAAATGAGAGTCTCCCTTGTCCTTCTAGGCTCCTCACTGTCCTCCTAGGCTCCTCACTGTCCTCCTAGGCTCCTCACTGTCCTCCTAGGCTCCTCACTGTCCTCCTAGGCTCCTCACTGTCCTTCTAGGTTCCTCACTGTCCTCCTAGGCAATCCCAAGGACCACCCCTTCTCGGCAATAAAAGGGATAAGCACAGGGGAGGACACATTTGCATAAGAATAGACAAATCATTCAATAATAACAATAGTAACTAAAATATCAGTTTGGCTCGGAGCTGACAATAGAAAGAAATAGAAAGAAAATGGAAAGAAATTGAAAGAAATTGAAAGAAATAGAAAGAAATAGAAAGAAAATGGAAAGAAAATGGAAAGACAAAAAGAAAGAAAACAGAAAGAAAACAGATAGAAAACCGAAAGGTAACTTTAAAAGTTTAAAAAATTACAAATCTCCCATCATTTTCATTGATTAATTGTTGGATTTCTTTAAAATTTCGAAAAAATTTCCATTTCTATTTCCATTTCTTGAAGCTAAACTTTTGAAAGGTTGAAAAGATTGAAAAAAACGGATTATTCAATTTTATCATTGTTGGATTATCATTATAATCCAACAATCCTTATCATTGCATTAAAAAGATCAATTTATTTGCTTAACATTAGACATAGTCACTATAAACAAGAAAAATGATGAACTGTCGAACAAAAATGACATAGTCACTACAAAGGCTTCTAACTTACTTTAAATCCACTTGATTGACATGATCTATAGCTTAAAAAATCAAGAATCTCAAGAGCTTTCGATTCGACTAAAGTACACCCAAAAATCTCAATGCTAAAGAAAGTTACAGTGGTTTATAGTCCTGAATCGATCGCTTCGACTACGCGCGAGTACGGTCCGTTTCGAGGCAGGACTCTACAAACCACTGTAACTTTCTTTAGCATTAAGATTTTTGATTTTGCTTTAGTCGCTTCGAAAGCTCTTGAGATTCTTTATTTTTTGAGTTATAGATCATGTCAATTCAGTAGATTTGAAGTAAGTTTGAAGCGTTTGTAGTTTACGTTTATAGTTTGTAGTCTCCATGTCTACTTAACATTGAATCCAGGTCCTTCTCGAGGCTGTCACTCTTCCACAAGATATCGAAAGAGATCGGGAAAGCACATGTGGACCCGTGTTACAAGTGCCCAGGCCAGCATATGCAAAGAAGTAAGTGGAAAGTGATAGAAATGAAAGAGTGTTAAACGGTTAAGCTATTATACTATACCAGAAATCCTGTCAGAAAAGCCTGCTTTCAGCTTTCATCTCGAGAACGGGAGAAGCTAGAGCTCCAAAAGCAACACTCACAAACACAACAGGGAACTCCCCGACCCCGAAGACCTATAAGAGTGTTGCTTTTGGAGCTCTAACTTCTCCCGTTCTCGAGATGAAAGCTGCGGACAGACAAGCGGACAGACAGACTGACAGACCGACAGACAGACGGACAGACAGATGGAAAGACAGAAAGACAGACAGACAGACAGACAGAGGACAGACGGAGGACAGACAGATGGACAGAGACGAGACAGGCGGACAGACAGACAGCAGACAGACAGACAGACAGACGGACAGACAGACGGACGGACAGACAGACAGATAGACAGACAGACAGACAGACGAACAGACAGACGACAGAGACAGACAGACGGACAGACAGACGGACAGACAGACAGACAGATAGAAAGACAGACAGACAGACGAACGGACGGACGGACAGACGGACAGACAGACAGACACTGCTCATTTATATATAGTAGATTATAGGAATTTATCAGTTTACTGTAGAGAAAGATAACTTTAACTGTACAATAGTTGTCAACGATTGCCCTTTTCAGTGTCTCTCGTCGTTTTTCCGACGCTGTTCAAATGGGGAAAAGTGCTTTCGCGAAAAAGGGAGTCTCGTTTGGAATCGCTCAAAAAAGACGACATTCCGAGCAAATTCGAAGAGAGTCAATGGAAAAAGAAGAACAATTGGGAAATGAGAAAGAAAAATCGACACTAAAGCCGCCATTGGTGAGTGAGAATCGAATTTGTGGTGTTGTAAATTAATTCGATTCAAATCAAAGACAAAAATTCGGTTTTATTCTGTTCTTGGTTTTCGTTTCAATTTTGAGATTTTTGAGCGGTGATTTTTCATTTTTAAAAAATGTTTTTACATTGAGCTGTAGAGCTGTAGAGCTGTAGAGCTGTAGAGTTGAAGAGCTGTAGAGCTGTAGAGCTGGCGTAGAGCGCTGTTAGAGCTCAATTTCTGTCAGTTTCATTTGTGATTTCAAAAAGAAGAAACATACACACACACAAACACAGACTTTCTGGAACACTCAATTCTTCGTTTTTCTTCTCGACTTAAATGTTATTTCATGCACCAGTAGACGACTTAAATTTCATGCATCAGTAGGGGCGGGTTTCTATTTTACAAGCACAAAGTACACAAATCAATGATAGAGTTGAAGTGATTGAAGTGATCTCTTTCAAAGCTCTTTCAAAACTCTTTCACTATACTGTACCATATCGGAACCATATTGGAGCCATATTCTTGGAAGGAAACATATTGGAACCATATTAGAACCATCTTGGAACCATCTTGGAACCATATTGGAACCATGTTGGAACCATATTCTTGGAAGGGACCATATCGGAACCATATTGGAACCATATCGGAACCATATTCTTGGAAGGAAACATATTGGAACCATATTGGAACCATGTTGGAACCATATTCTTGGAAGGAACCATATTGGAACCGTATCTGAACCATATCGGAACCATATCGGAACCATATTGGAACCATGTTGGAACCATATTCTTGGAAGGGACCATATCGGAACCATATTGGAACCATATCGGAACCATATTCTTGGAAGGAAACATATTGGAACCATATTGGAACCATGTTGGAACCATATTCTTGGAAAACCAATTGACCTTTCCAACCCCCGAACCCAATTAAACACGTGCCCCTTTAACCTTAACCAAAACAAAACCCTTTTTTTAAAAAAAATACCACCCAAGGAACCATATTGGAACCATATTGGAACCATGTTGGAACCATCTTGGAACCATCTTGGAACCATCTTGGAACCATCTTGGAACCATATTGGAACCATATTGGAACCATATTGGAACCATATTCTTGGAAGGAAACATATTGGAACCATATCGGAACCATATTGGAACCATGTTGGAACCATCTTGGAACCATCTTGGAACCATCTTGGAACCATCTTGGAACCATCTTGGAACCATCTTGGAACCATCTTGGAACCATCTTGGAACCATCTTGGAACCATCTTGGAACCATATTGGAACCATATTGGAACCATATTGGAACCATATTGGAATCATATTCTTGGAAGGAAACATATTGGAACCATATTTGTATACTTTATGCTTAAAATTGAAGCGCACTCTTTCTGATGCAATCAATTCAATTCTCAAGGCACAGCTAAGGCTCAAGGCTAAAAAAACAAAGAATTAAGTACACGAGAAGAGCTGTGTTTCTACTTTTTGGGCTTTAAGCTTTAACTAGGGAAAAGCACGAATTCGATGTGAGCTTTTGTCTGGACACTTATAGAAACGGTAATGAGGAATCCGAATCTAAAATCAAAATCTGCCAAATGACTTTCGAAGCGTGTAAAACTCAAAAATTTGCTTCGAAACGAATGCTAGTACAGAAAAGATACATTGGTCGCTTAGTGGATACCGCATTAAGCTTTCACCCACTGGATCAGTTCTCCTCCGATCAGCTCAAGCTCAAGCTCCTGCTGCTTGTGCAGCTTTTTGTTTTCGTTTTCCTTTTAGAGCAACTTCTCACATTTTCTAGCACTATAACGGCTAGGAAAGTGGGAATTGGTTATTCAAGCTTTAAGCTTTAAGCTTTAAGCTTTGAGCTTTGAGCTTTAAGCTTTGAGCTTTAAGCTTTGAGCTTTAAGCTTTGAGCTTGAGTCGACATTATGCTTTTTTTTGTTTTCCGATTCAATAAGTGTCTGATTCAATAAGTGTCCAGACAAAAGCTCACCTTAAATTCGTGCCTTTCCCTAGTCCCTACACTTGAAAAGCAAGTCGATCTTTATGCAGATCTTTATGCAAATGAAAAACGATCTATGAAACTATTAAAAAGGTAAAAGCTTAAAAAAAAGGTAAAAAGTTAAAAGATTTGCGTACTATTGAGAAAAGAAAAGGAAGAAATCGCCTTGAAAACTCGATTCAGAAAGTGTCGTTGAGTGTGCCGACTCAACATTCTTCATCGATTCATTCACATAAAATTCTCGATGATGAGGTGCAGCATGTCCCTGAGAATTTCTCCCCGTTTTGCCCAAATTGCGATGCCAAAAATTTTCTTTCCTTTTCCACAACCATTTTCAGTTCAAGCATAAACTCGTAAATCCATTGAAATGCTATAATTTTGGAATTTGAAATTTTTGAGGGAAAGCGTTTGTGCGTATTCTCCTAGAAAAAGCTTAATCGCTTAGCAGCTGCTGCAGCTATTGTAGCAGCTGCTGCAGCTATTGTAGCAGCTGCTGCAGCTATTGTAGAAGCTGCTACAGCTATTGTACAAGCTGATAGCGCCAGATGGCTTACGATTACGCTTTTTTTTGTTGGGACACGAAATGGCTTTGATCAGTGCATAAGTTGATCTTTGTTTTAGGTGGAAAAGCGAAAGATGAGGCGATTGTCGGAAATGATTTCTGATTGGGAAAGGCCATCCAGATCCTCTTTATCACATATGTACAGTTTTGCGAGAAGAGAATCCGTGTATATTGCGAGGAAGAAGCTAGCTGGCTTGAAGGTGAGCTATTTGCTAATTGCCAGTTTTTCCTAAAACCCAAAAGATTCTGGGTTTTGCCTTTGGAAATCGGCTTTGGAATATTCTAATCATTGGAATATTCTAATCATTGACCATAAACGTCAAGATTTCAAGATCTAGAACACCTTTAATCTGTTTCTGGTACTCCATTCATAACCCTGACCAGGGGGATTCCAACAGAGTCTTAGAAAAAGCCCCAGGGAAAGCCAAGCTCTAGGGAAAGCCAAGTCCCAGGGAAAGCCAAGTCCCAGGGAAAGCCAAGTCCCAGGGAAAGCCAAGTCCCAGGGAAAGCCAAGCTCCAGAGAAAGCCAAGCCCCAGGGAAAGCTTCCGGGTCTAGGTATAGGCCTAGCAGTAATAAAGAAGTGAAGGAATTGGGAAAAAAATATTTGGGAAGAGGGGATTGAACCCTTGTTCTTTGATTGAACCATTGATCTTTAATTGAACCCTTGATCTTTGATTGAATACAAGACTGTATACAAATGTATAAGAATTTAGTATTAGAATTGTCAATTTATTCTTATGAGTTGATTATTAACAGCCAGTCGATTTAGTAGCAAATTATGAACTCAAAATCTTTTGGATATATGATCAGATTGATTAGTAATAAAGAAGTGAAGGAATTGGCAGATTTCCGGATTGCGGTTTGGACCCTCGACCTTTTGCTCTAACCACTAGGCTATCCGGTACTCTAACTACTAGGTTATCCGGTACTCTAGCTACTAAGCTATCCGGTACTCTAGCTACTAGGCTATCCGGTACTCTAACCACTAGGCTATCCGGTACCTTTTTGCCAGAGAAGAAAGAGGGGAAGAGAAAGAAAGAAAGAGAAGGAAATATCCGGCTTTTCATAACCCTACTTGAAGATCAGAACACGATCATTAGTAATAAAGTAAAGTAAGAAAGAAAGAAAGTTTACGTAAAAAAAATTCAAATCCCTACAGGATTGGGCCCTCGACTTGCTAGCAAAACTGAAAAGCAAGCAAGGAATGGCGATTCGGCGAGAGACACGAGCAACAAAACTTGTCGCCACTGTCATGGGTAGATATTAATTTCTCAATCTATTCATTTCCAAAATTTTAGTCGTTTTCCTCGTTTGTTGGCTTCCTTTCTTCACATTGAATATGGTAAAGATCTACAAATTAATTCGAGAGGATTGGTCAACTGATTTGGAATATTGGTTTCATTGGTTCACCGCTTTGGGATATCTAAATTCGTCACTCAACTTTTTCATCTATTCAGCGATCAATCAAGTGAGTGATTTAGTTGTTTCTTGGCTGATCTACTAGTTACTAGAAAGGAAAATATCTACTAGACTTCAAAGGCTATTGAAGTCTAATAGTCTAGTAGGCTATTGGGTTGGTGAATTGAAAACTGTCAGCTATTGTGATAAATGACAGTTTGAGGACTTTCTTCAAAAGAAACCCATTTTGGTGTCAATGAAAAAGTTGTAGAGAATCAAAAATCAAGCTTATATCCAAATTTTCAGAACGATTCAAAAACTGGTTTTGAAGAAATGCCAAATTTACGTTGCCAAATGAAAATTTTCACAAAACTTGTATTTTAAGCGAAACTACTAAGTGTATCTTTTTGGAAATTTGGCTCTAAGCCTAATTTTTGATTCTCTACAACTTTTCTATTGACACCAAAATGGGTTTCTTTTGAAGAAAGTGCTCAAACTGGTTTTGAACCCATTTTTGGGCCCTCCATTTTTGAACATCTCCAGTCCTCCATTTTTGAGTCTCACACTTGTCTCACACACAAACCAAAATCAAACCAAACCAATCCTACTATGAAAGAGGAATCCGCAATGAATCCCTAAAGAAGAATAGGCCCTTCAAGTCAAAGATCGTTCTCCTCCACGACAACGCGCGCCCTCATGTTGCAAAACTGACTCGCTCTAAAATAAACAGCCTTGGTTGGGAACTTTTGACGCATCCCCATACAGTCCGAACCTCGCCCCTTTTGATTGCTATTTATTCCGGACCATGAGCTTGCGGGAGAACACTTCGATTCGGAAGAAGCAGTCAAAAATTGGCTCGAAAAGTTTTTCGATTCAAAGCCAAAATCCTACTACGAAAGAGGAATCCGCAAATTGCCTGTATAATGAGCAGAAGTCGTCAATAATAATGGAATTATAATAATGGAATATTTGGAATGAATTCATGGTTTTATGTTGAATAAATTTTAGTTCAAAGTCCGGCAGTTTTCAATTCACCAACCCAATACATTTGCATAAGAGGATAAGGTCATTTTTCTCAAATTTTGTTTAAGGCATCAAAACTGTCAGTAGCGTCTCATTTTCACCAGAACAAAATGAATAAATAAGTAATAGCCGATCCAATGCCATTACAATTGAAACCGTTTTCAATGAGATCCATTCATTCTTGAAATATAGATTTTTAAAAATCATGCCCAATAAGGTTCTTCGACCACAAGACTCTTAATTCAAAGGATATGGAAAAGCTAAATGATTCATTTTAACAACCTTTGAAAATGCTACATAAAACAAACCCAACCATAATCCAATTTTTCTTCATTTTCTTTTCTTTCAGAAATTCCGTCACTCTTTCCGTCGCCTTGTCGGCTTTCGTCGATCACGAAGACTAAAGGAGAAAACGTGGATGTTGCCAGCGAAGAATGCCAACAATAACGACTCATCGCAACGTGGTGGAATGAAATATTGTGGATGTGGGGCATTTCATCGGATAACGAAAAAGAGTCCGTTGAGAAGGGCTAGCTCATGCGGGTTGGTTTTTAAAGAAAAAAAAAAAGAAAAGAAATCAAGATGAAGATGAAGATTTCAAGGCATTCGTGCTGTGGAAATCACTTTCTATCCCCCAAAGCACTCAATATTCTTTCATGATCATGAGAAAACGCTCAATCATGTTAACTCAATCATGTCAAACTCTCTAAACATTCACCATCTAGTGCACTGAATTCCCAAAAGCAATCTTTGATTTCAGTGCACCAGACGCTGGACGTTTACACGAGTTTACACGAGTTTACACGATTTCGCAATTCTTTAACTTAAAAACATCGAAAACTTAGATTAAAATGAGATCGTTAACTTAGATTCAACTCAAAAATATTTCCATTTATCAGCTCCAATCCGGAAAACCAATTCTAGGTAAAAAGTGCTTTCTTGAAAGACGTTAGTTCGTTTAGTCATTGCAGTTTGAAAGGTTATCGGGCATTTGATTGTGGCCCCGCCCCTTTTCCCATTGGCAAACTTTAAGCTAAAATTTCTTGGCTTTGGGTTGTCCAATTTACATATTCTTGGTATCATCAGATGCACCAAGTCTTTCTCTATCGATTGATATAAAAACTAATTAAATTGGACCGCCCAGCACCGAGTTCTTTGAGCTTAAAGTTAGATTGCCAATGGCCAGGAGCGAGGCGACCTTTTATACCCGCCCCGCCCCTTTTCATTGGCATTTTCCCATTGGCAACTTTGAGCTCGAATTTCTTGGTGTTCAGTTGTTCAATTTAAATACTTTCGGTATCATCAGATGCGCTAAGTCTTTCTCTATCGATTGATATAAAAATTGTTTAACCCATTCGAAACCGCAGCGTTTTTTTCTTTTTTTCGTCTGCGAAAAAGATCCTATCGATTATTATTCATATTTTATCGACGACAAATTAATCAATATGTTAGTAGGCGAATCTAATAAACATGAAAAAAGGAAAACAAACTGGCAGGATTTCGATGCAAAATCTTTCAAGCTCTTCTTGGTTCTGTATCTTCAAATGGGAATCGTCAAATTACCAAGGAGTCGTAGTCACGAATGACTTTTGGAGTAGCAGGCTTGGATTAGGAGGATTTTCCCACATATCCCATATTATGTCAAGAGCAAAATTTGAATCTATTCTTCGAAACCTAGCTCAAGCGGTCCGTTCCTGAGTTCCTTCCTGACTTCTGCAGCGATTATTCGCTGCAGAAGTTTCGAATGGGTTAAATTAAACAGCCCAACAGCAAGAAATTTGAGCTTAAAGTTCGATTGCCAATGGCAAAAGGCAATTGGCCAATGGCAAAAGGTAATTGGCCAATGGCAAAAGGCAATTGGCCAATTGCCGCAATCAAATATCCTAAAATCTTTTTAGAAAAGCTTAAATTGAATTATTTGATTGCTTATTCGATTTTTCTAGTTCCGAGTCCATTAGTATTGATGTTCAAGGCCTAGTGCTGAAGAGGTAAAATGAAAGAAATTATATAATGGAAATGGGAAATGAATGAATGAATGAAATAGCTTTGAATGGCTTGGGATGGAATGGAACTATCAAAAGAAATAACAAAAATCAATGGGGGAAATGTTGGTTGGAAAGCTGAATATCAAAGAAAACTTGGGCAAATTTTGAGATTAAATTAAAAACTAATCGGGTTTTACTTTTAAATCTAGTGTGCCAAGCGCTGAGGCCCTGAAAAGGGGCCCTGAAGGGAAACTGGTTTGTTGTATTTTGTGCTTTTGTAAACGCTTCTCTGGCGCACTCGATACTTCATTTTTCTTTTCGCAAAACTATGCGAAAGTTGAGCGAGAAGATCAAGTGCGACAAGAAAGGGTGCGTTTCTATTTCCAGCCCAAAATACCCAAACAATGATGAGTCCACAAGCACTCATCATCGTTGATAAGCTTTGCGTTGATAAGCTTTTCAATATAGTTTTTCAATATAGTTATCAGGAAAATCTTGGTAGAACTCTGAAGCATTTTATACATAGCAGAATAAAGAAAAAGAATATCGTCTAATTTTATTTTGTTTTTGGCTAGTGACGCAAGTTTCGCGGTGTAAAATTTGAGGCGTAAAATTTGCAGCGTAAAATTTGTGGCGTAAAGCTTGCAGCTTCAAATTGTGAGGTAAAATTTGCAGCTTAAAACTTGCGGCGTAAAACTCGTGGCGTAAAATTTGCAGCGTAAAATTTGAAGCGTAAAATTTGAAGCGTAAAACTTGCAGCTTAAAATTTAAAGCGTAAACCTTGCAGCTTCAAATTGTGAGGTAAAATTCGCGATGCAAGGCTCGCAGCGCAAGGCTCGCAGCGCAAGGCTCGCAGCGCAAGGCTCGCAGCGCAAGGCTCGCAGCGCAAGGCTCGCAGCGCAAGGCTCGCAGCGCAAGGCTCGCAGCGCAAGGCTCGCAGCGCAAGGCTCGCAGCGCAAGGCTCGCAGCGCAAGGCTCGCAGCGCAAGGCTCGCAGCGCAAGGCTCGCAGCGCAAGGCTCGCAGCGCAAGGCTCGCAGCGCAAGGCTCATAGTCTCGTTTGCATCTTCTAACTGAATTTAAGCTTTCAATTTAAGCATTCTGTAATCCTTGGCCTTATTAAGGAATCTTTTATCATTAAAGAAACTATTATTAAAGAAACTATTATTAAAGAACCTTTTATTATTAAAGAATCCCTCCTTTCAAAAGATATTCAGCTATTCACCAAGCCTTTCCCCATCTCCCTCAATTTCTTGCATGTGCTTGCTTGAATGGCTTATTGTCAAGGCTAAATCCCTTTTTTTTCTGAAATGAATTGTCCTAATTGTTCTTCTCCTCATTTTTTCTTTTTTTGCTGTTTTCCCCCTCACATTTTTCATTCGCTTACCCCTTTTATTCAGACTGTTGCACAATCGAAAACAATCGATGCCAAAACCGGAGATAATTATCGATGAAATATCGAGACTCTCACCGGCAAGGATATCGATTACAACTGGAGGACAGACGACTTTCAGGTGAATTCAAGGGTGCAAAGGGAAAAGTAAGCACGTTTTTTTCCCATTAATAAGCACATTATTGATTTATTTTGGGTATAAAGCATATAAAGATGGATATAAAGCAAAAATTGATGCCAAAGCTTGTTAATTATTGAAGCAGAACGTTCCTTTCATAATCCTTTCAATCACTTTTCTTTTCTAAAGGTCCTTTTCTAAAAGGAATCTATTTTCTAATCATTTAACTTAGTCTAACTTTGATTTCATTGATGAATCACATGGCTTGCTTGTTCACAAGTGTAGCCATATGCTTTGTTAAACCATATGCTAAGGCCATTAGAGCCATATGCTTCGTTGTAATTCTTCGTTAAACCCAAGTAGGCAAAGATCAATAGATCAGCACCATGTTGCACAACAAATCTACAAACCAATTTCCTAAAAATCTGATCAATACCAATTTTTATATGCTATCCAACTAAGAAAAATTCAAAGTTTCATTAAAATCTGTCCACTCAAAAAAAAGTTAATAAGGTGAACACGTTTCCAAGCTATTTATTTCAGGTTTTACCAAATGGGTATCAAATAGATATCAAATAGTGATTTTCTTCTTACAACAAATCCCCTAAAGATCTTTTGCACAAGGTAAAAAGTCAAGATTTTACTCTTAGATCTAAGATAAAAAGACAGGTTAAAAACTGGCGAAAAACTGGCTTAAAAACTTTGAGGTCAAATATCTTGGTGTTGGGATGTCCAATTTGAGTGTTCTTGGTATCATTAAATGCGCCAAGTCTTCCTCTGTCGATTGATATAAAAATTGTTTAAATTAAACAGCCCAACATCAAGAAATTTGAGCTTAAAGTTAGATTGACAATGGCAAAAAGAGCCAAGCCACAATCAAATGTCCTAAACTTAAAAGTTAAACTTAGACTTAAAATGTTTGTAAACGTTTCTTGATCGCTCTTTGTTATCGTCTAAAACAACTGTTGATCGTTCTTTGTTATCGTCTAAAGAAAGCTCTAAAGAAAGCTCTAAAGAAAGATCTAAACAAAGCTCAAAAGAAACCTCTAAAGAAAGCTCTAAAGAAAGCTCTAAAGAAAGCTCTAAAGAAAGATCTAAACAAAGCTCAAAAGAAAGCTCTAAAGAAAGCTCAAAAGAAAGCTCTAAAGAAAGCTCTAAACAAAGCTCAAAAGAAACCTCTAAAGAAAGCTTTAAAAATCACTCGATTTTTCATTGAATTTCAGTGTAAAATCGTCTAGCTTTTTAGAATTTCATAAATTCTGAATTCATGGTGAGTAAGAGGCAATTCATTGAGAATCTTACACGCAATTGAGAAGATTGAAATGGCTGAAATGGCTGAAATGGAATGAGTGATTGAGGGGGGAAAGATGTGACGTTATTTGAGATTGAGAAAAATGGGGAAAAAGGGAAAGATTTTAGTGATTTTTCCATCACTTTGGAAGAGATTTTCGATTAATAAGATGGGGACTTTGATAATAGGATAACTTTGATGATAGGATAACTTTGATAACACGATTTGAGGGGATAACAAAACTCAATTGAAAGCAATTGAAAGCAATTCATTCCCCATTCATTCCCCATTCATTCGCCATTCATCCCCAAATAGGTACAGTGCTGGACAATGAAATATGATATTTAAAAAACGATCGTCACTTTCGCGCGTCTGTAACTCCCTTGTCTTTGAGTTTAAACTATTAGTGTTATACATTTTCTGAAAGCTCTTTTCAAGGGCTACACAATGGTAATATTAATATTTAGAAATACGGTAAAGACAAGGGGAGTTACAGACGCGCGAAAGTGACGATCGTTTTTCAAATATGATATTTCATTTTCCAGTAGTGTATCAAAGAGAGAATTTGGGGATGATTGGGGAATGAATGCTACCTTTTTGGTAAATAAGGAAGTTGCGAAAATGATAAAAACATAAGAACTATAGCAATAGAATAGAAATAGCAATCGAATAGCAATAGAATATAGATTTATCCATTGAAGAATTCAACTCATCAATCATTTGATCAAAGCTAGAGCATAGCCTAGAGGTTTTTGATGGATTTCAGTGCAAAACTGCTTTCTGTATGAGCTAGTTCTTGTTTTTTGATCTATTAAAAAGCTTTTTGATCTTCTAAAACACTTTTTGATCTATTTAAACACTTTTTGATCTTCTAAAACACTTTTTCAATCTTTTAAAACACTTTTTGATCTATTAGCTCTATTAGAGCTCGTTAATTGATCACCTAGAAAGATAATTTGAGCCAAGGTTAACTCGAAACTTCAACTAAACTTCAACTAAACTTTAGATTACGTTCCATTAGATGTTTTTCTAAAATGTGGCACTGTTCAAAAGCTACCGTCATAACTCTAGCTAATGAAAAACCATCAAAACCATCAAAACAAAGCTTTTCAAAAACTTTCAAAAGTGATTTGCAAGAGAAATGATTGGGTTATTTGATGAAGATACTCTATTTTATTTGGTATTTTGAGAGTTATTCAATTAGAGAATCAATTTTGGTGAAAGGCTTAGTACTCAAGCTAATATCAAGCTCAAGATGAAGCTCAAGCTCAAGCTAATATCAAGCTCAAGCTCAAGCTAATAATCAAGCTCAAGCTCAAGTCAATTCAAGCTCAAGAAAGATAGCTGGTTCAAAGTAAATCAGAAAGATGGCTAGTCATTTCTGCATCAAGCTCAAGCTAATAATCAAGCTCAAGCTAATATCAAGCTCAAGCTCAAGCTCAAGCTCAAGCAAACCGTAGGTTCTAGAACTGACCAAAAGCTGACCAAAAGATACAAAAAGTTGATAGATTGAGTTCAAAATGAAAAGCAAGATTACGATGATCAAGAAAGTTGATACCTTTTTGAGAAAGTTGTTCAAGTGAAATACACAAATCAATCACAGAAAATACATAAATCAAGCTTGAGTGGCTTTTGTTCAAGTGTAGTGCGCCAAATCATATAAAATCTTTGCTTTTCAAAGCCAGTTTAATTTCAGACGTTCTTCGGATGATTCCCTTCGTCGTTCCTCCTCTGAGATCATCAGCCGGATCTCTCTCCCTCCATCGAACACCGGTCCTCAAGGGATTTCCTCATCCCGCCGTGGTTCTGGAATGTCCGTCTCGTCGGCTTCTCTCCAAATTCACGAGATTCGTCAAGAGTTTAATGCGCTTGTCGGCGATCAGCAAGATGTCGAGATATTTGTCTGATTTGTCGAGCTTTGTCGAGCTGAGATGTCACTGTTTTTTTGAGTACTGTAGATGGATAAGGTTTAAAAGGTTCTTGAAATGAATGAATGAATCTTTTAGATTGATTTTCATTCAAGAATTCAAGATTCTTTATTTAATGCTTCATTTACAGTACAAGCATGTGAAAAATTAACATTTTTTTCTTGTCAAAACATGTGCATGTTAAATAGAGTTTTTTTGAATTTTTGAATAGAAATTTATTGGATCGGGATGGGAAATGAAGGGTTTTCGGTAGATTAAAAGATATTCAGTTGGAAATCTTTTAAGACAGTGTTTAAGACACTCATCAGCCTCAACTTTGAAGGTATTCGGTCTACCGTAGTCTTCTTGTAAAGTCTTTTTGACTAAGTCTAAGTCTGACTAAGTCTGACAAAGTCTGCCTAAGTCTGACAAAGTCTGCCTAAGTCTGACAAAGTTTGACTAAGTCTGTCTAAGCCAAACTAAGTCCGACTAAGTCAAACTAAGTTTGCCTAGGTCTGCCTAAGTCAAACTAAGTCCACCTAAGTCTGTCTAAGTCTGACTAAGTCTGACTAAGTCCGATCAAGTCTGCCTAAGTCTCACTAAGTCTGTCTAAGTCAAACTAAGTCCGACCAAGTCTGCCTAAGTCTCACTAAGTCTGTTTAGGTCCAACTAAGTCTGCCTAAGTCTGACTAAGTCTTTGAACCTTCAAAGTCAAGACCTTCAAAGTCTTGACATTTCTTCTTCTCTTGGATAAACTACAGTAATCTTTCCTTTAGTTTTCATTGACAGGCTTAATTTTGATCTTATTCGATGTGGAATCAAATTTTGATTGGTATAAAAACTATTTCAATTGAGTAAACCAAAGCCGAGCAATTTAAGTTCAAAGTTGGAGTGCTAATGGAGCAAAAGGGGCGGGGCGCGGATAAAAGGCCCGATAACCGGTTTGACCAATTAAGCCCGACTATTTGGTCTAAGCTAGGTCTAAGCCTGGCTTCTGACAAGCCCAGATACTTTTTGTGGACTAAATCTACTAAGCCAGCACAGGTCAAGCAGAGCCAGAAGCCAGGTCAGGACGCCTCCTTTGTCATTGGCGCTCCAACTTTGAGCTAAAATTTCTTGACTTTGGGTTGTTCGATTAGAATAATTTTGGTATTATTTAATGCGCCTAGTCTTTCTCTGTCGATTGGTACAAAAACTATCTAAATTGGACAGCTCAACACCAAGAAATTTGAGTTCAAAGTTGGGTTGCCAATGACCCCTTTTGCCATTGGCGCTCCAACTTTGAGCTAAAATTTCTTGGCTTTTGGGTTGTTCGATTTGAATAATTTTGGTATCATTTAATGCGTCTAGTCTTTCTCTGTCGATTGGTATAAATTTTATACCAATGAGTGAGATCAAAATCAAATAAAACAGAAGAAAAAAGTCTGAAAGAGGATTACGGTAGGTTTTCGAATTACCAACTTTTTCGAGTCGCCGGGAATACAAAGTTTAAAAGGGAAACTCTCTTTTGACTGAATATCTTTTAAAACATAACAAAATTAAAGAAATTCAGCTAAAAAGCCGAAAAAATCCCTCATTTCCCGCCTTTTTTAGCATGTTTTGCCCATTTCCTGCTCAATGTGTGGGCCAGCTGATTTCCGAATTTCTAATTTCTAACTTTTATGCAAATTTGTTTTATGCTAATTTATTTCATGCAAATTCATTTCATGCAAATTTCCCTTTCTCTTATTTTCAGACTAAATGAAACGGACCCCACGAGGGATCACGTGGAAATGGCCCGCGTACTTGCACAACAAATTGCCCAAATGAGACTTTAAATTGTAAAAATCTCGTTCAGCTTTATCCCCTTCTTTCAGCTTTTCCTCTCCACAAATCGATACGGGTTTTTGAATAGTCTTCAGTGTTTTTTTTCTCCTTTGATCTCTCTTCAATCTCTCTCCAATCCCTCTCCAATCTCTCTTCGATCTCTCTCCAATCTCTCTTCAATCTCTCTCCAATCCCCCCCTCTTCGATCTCTCTCCAATCTCTCTTCAATCTCTCTCCAATCCCTCTCCAATCTCTCTTCGATCTCTCTCCAATCTCTCTTCAATCTCTCTCCAATCCCTCTCCAATCTCTCTTCGATCTCTCTCCAATCTCTCTTCAATCTCTCTCCAATCCCTCTCCAATCCCTCTCCAATCTCTCTCCAATCCCTCTCCAATCTCTCTTCAATCTCTCTCCAATCCCTCTCCAATCCCTCTCCAATCTCTCTTCAATCTCTCTCCAATCCCTCTCCAATCTCTCTTCGATCTCTCTCCAATCTCTCTTCAATCTCTCTCCAATCCCCTCTCCCAATCCCTCTCCAATCTCTCTCCAATCCTCTCCAATTCTCTTCAATCTCTCTCCAATCCCTCTCCAATCCCTCTCCAATCTCTCTTCAATCTCTCTCCAATCCCTCTCCAATCTCTCTTCGATCTCTCTCCAATCTCTCTTCAATCTCTCTCCAATCCCTCTCCAATCCCTCTCCAATCTCTCTCCAATCCCTCTCCAATCTCTCTTCAATCTCTCTCCAATCCCTCTCCAATCCCTCTCCAATCTCTCTTCAATCTCTCTCCAATCCCTCTCCAATCTCTCTTCGATCTCTCTCCAATCTCTCTTCAATCTCTCTCCAATCCCTCTCCAATCCCTCTCCAATCTCTCTCCAATCCCTCTCCAATCTCTCTTCAATCTCTCTCCAATCCCTCTCCAATCCCTCTCCAATCTCTCTCCAATCCCTCTCCAATCTCTCTTCAATCTCTCTTCAATCTCTCTCCAATCCCTCTCCAATCTCTCTTCGATCTCTCTCCAATCTCTCTTCAATCTCTCTCCAATCCCTCTCCAATCCCTCTCCAATCTCTCTCCAATCCCTCTCCAATCTCTCTTCAATCTCTCTCCAATCCCTCTCCAATCCCTCTCCAATCTCTCTTCAATCTCTCTCCAATCCCTCTCCAATCTCTCTTCGATCTCTCTCCAATCTCTCTTCAATCTCTCTCCAATCCCTCTCCAATCCCTCTCCAATCCCCCTTCAATCTCTCTCCAATCTCTCTCCAATCTCTCTCCAATCTCTCTCCAATCTCCCTCCAATCTCTCTTCAATCTCTCCCAAAATTTTGATCTCTTTTTTGTGATCTCTTCCCCATTGATGTCATTTTGATTCTTTTGAAGCAATAAACGAATTTTTTTTCTTTCATATAAACAATTAACAATAAAAGAATCAATAGAATAACTGAAATTTTATTATAAAGAACAAATTGAGCAGCCAAATTGAGTCAAATCAAATCATTGAACAGTCAAATTAAGCACTTTTTGAGTGACGGATCAATCAATCAAATTAATCAATCAAGCCTGGCATCATTTGCTAACTTATAAGGGGAAAGCAATAGTAGGATGTGGTCAAATGAGCTAAGCTATAAACCATTCGACGCAGAATTTCACGCTGATTTCGAATCTGCTTTCGGTTTTTGCAAAATGGTTTCCTATAAAAAGTTATACGTGCTTTACGTTTTAAGGTGAAAATGCGAAAATGCAAAAATTAGAGGCGAACAGGGATGTCTTTATAAGGTTTCTCTCATCGATTCCAAACGTGATTAGAAGGTGATTAGACGATGATTAGACGTGATTAGAGTGGATAAAAGGCTTGCATACAAAACGAACGCTACATTTTTACTGGAGTTCGATTCCTTACCAGGGCCTTCGCTTTCGGCGAGTCTGGCATCAAAATGTAACCCTTTAATTGGGCTACACGATGGTATAAAAAAAACTTAGAAAAACTGTTGTTTAGCAGAAGAAAAATGGCCGCAAAGTGAGAGCACCAACGCTACACACCCATACAAAAGACGGTACGTCGCCGTTAGCATTTCGATATACAGTCGGCCGTTTTTCTTGTACTAGACAACAGTTTATCTGAAAGTTTTTTATACGATCGTGTAGCCCAATTAAATGGCTACATTTTGATGCCAGACTTGCCGATGACTTGCTTGCTCTTGCTACATTTTGATGCCAAAGCGAAAGCCCTCCTAAATGGCAATTCCATTCGGCGCAATCTCAATCGCAATCGCAATCGTCCCGAAATTACTCACGCAAATTCTACTCGAGTAATCACTTACTCGCAAGGAAAACACTCTAATTTCACCAATGACTTGCTTGCTCTTGCTTTCAATCATAGAAAACGTAGACCTTTACGCAATCATCGACCGCATTTGGATCATTGATTGTCACACCGTAGAGGTAAACTTTATCAAAACCCTCGCAAGTTAGAGTCGCAAGTTAGAAATTCAAGTGCGAAGATGCTCAAGTTAAAAAAACCATGCAATCGTCATCCTTTTCGCAGCCTGGCAACGTTTGGCAACAGCCTGGCAACGTCTGGCAACGTTTGGCAACAGCCTGGCAACGTCTGGCACCGTTTGGCAACGTCTGGTAACAGCCTGGCAACATCTGGCAACGTCTGGCAACGTCTGGCAACCGTCTGGCATAATGCGTGTAATAACAGGACCTTGATAAGATAATAAATCCTCATTGGGATTCTGCTGTGATACAAGCTGCAGCTGGAAATACTTGGCAACGATGTAAGGCCGATTAGAACCTGAAATTCAATGATCGGAATAGAAAACTTTATTGTTCTTTTTTCTTTGGAAGAAGTTAAATTGAAATCATATTTCTTGTAGCTTTTGTCTTTACCTGAGTCTTAATCTGACGCTGACTTAACTTGCCTAAACCATCCCGAACCAAAAAGCAGAACCATTGGTCTTCTAAAAAGCACCTTTTATAGAAAAATACCGTAGTCAAAAGACTAGCACAAAGCGAAGGCTCTCGTAAATGGCAATTCCATTCGGCGCAATCTTGATATCATTTAATGAGCAATCATTTAATGAGCAATCACTTAATGAGCAATCACTTAATGAGCAATCATTTAATGAGCAATCACTTAATGAGCAATCATTTAATCAGCAATCATTTAATCAGCAATCATTTAATGAGCCATCCTTTAATGACATTAAAATTGCGACAATCGAATGTAAGCTATCGATTTGCTTAGTTAAGTGCTTAGTTTTCTAGAGTGGGTGCTTTTTAAATAAGAAGAGCACACCATCCACCTCATCACCATGATTTTTGCGTTAAGAATAGTTTCCTAAACCAGTGTATCTACTAAAATTTACATCAAAACCCTTCGAATTTATTCTACACACCAAAAATTTCTATTCTATACACCAAAAATCTTCTAATTTTTCAATCGCCAGCAAGGATTGCCTTGAAAAGGCGCTTAGCGAGCCATTGACAATCAATTTCTGTCTACTACTTTTGGGAAAGGAAAAAATGAGTCCATTTTTGGAGAGAAAAGAGAAAGAAAAGAAAGAAAAGAAAGAAAGAAGAGAAAGAAAAGAAAGAAAAGAAAGAAGAGAAAGAAAAGAAAGAAAAGAAAGAAAAGAAAGAAAAGAAAGAAAGAAAGAAAAGAAATTGTGATAAGCTTATTCTGAAAGGCGCCCTACACCTAATTCTTTGCTGGAAGCAACGTCATTTTTCTACATTTACTATGAAAATTCTTTAATTTATTTGGATTTCTGATATTGATTGGATTAGAGTTTTTTGAAAAGAGCTTTTTATAGCCTTGATCACTTTGATGACTTTGTTCTTACTGACTTAGTTTTTGATCTTGTCTAGTTATGATCTTGTTTAGTTATAATCTTGTCTAGTTATGATCTTGTTTAGTTATGATCTTGTTTAGTTATGACCTCGTTTAGTTATGATCTTGTTTAGTTTTGATCTTGTTTATTTAAGATCTTGTTTAGTTATGATCTTGTTTAGTTATAATCTTGTCTAGTTATGATCTTGATTAGTTATGATCTTGTTTAGTTATGATCTTGTTTAGTTATGATCTTGTTTAGTTATGACCTCGTTTAGTTAGGAGCTTGTTTAGTTTTGATCTTGTTTATTTAAGATCTTGTTTAGTTAAGATCTTGTTTAGTTATAATCTTGTCTAGTTATAATCTTGTTTAGTTTTGATCTCGTCTAGTTATAATCTTCTTTAGATCTCATTTTAAAAAGCTGCAAAAAACTTAGAAAGTTAACATTAACATTATCGCAAACTCTAAAATACTTCCATCTAAAGCTAACTCAAAAAATCAAATCAAATCATAAAAACAGTCTCAAATGTTTCCAATGCAACATTTAACTTTCAATGTGCTTATGGCTGAAAAGTTCTGTTCCGTTGATATGTAAAGAAGTTGATATAAAGAAAAAAAGATATAAAGATGCTCTAGCTTTTATAAATACCCAATTTTATGCTCTACTCTAAGCAATTCAACAAGCAATTCAGCAATTCAGCTTAAAGCGACGTTAAAATTGATCGCAAAACTTTTAAAGCTTTATTTCTTGTGAATCAATAGCAATTTCTATTTGATCGCAGATCAGCTTTTGACAATTTGTTCTCTAAAACAGTTTTAGAGCTCTTAAAAGCAAATTTACATAGCTTACCAGAAAGAAGAAACATTTTTCTTTAAAACCTTACCCTACACAGCTAGATTGCTCTTGAAATCACCGATTTCGAGAGCCTCAAACATTGTTAGTCAAGTCAATCAAAGAAATTCATGTAACTGCTAGATTAGATTAAAGTTAGATTGGCTGGAATCATCGTTTACACTGACTTTCGGATAGAGCATCTTCGTCAAACACTTGAGATAGAGCGCGATGAGCTTCAGCAGCCTATTTGCCTTGCTTAAATTCGTGCCACGAGCAGGCCCGCAAGCGAAATTTTTGGTCCGACATTTTCTAAACACTCTTTCTTGTAAAAAAACAAAGTAAACATAGACAAATTAAAGACAAACTCGGTTAGATTAAAGCATTAAAAGATTAGAGCATTAAAATGGGCTTGTCAAACTTGCAAATCCCTTGCAAAAACAAGCATAGAATAAAAATAGTTGAATTTCCTGAATTTCGACTATTTTTAGTCGAAATTCAGGAAATTTTGTAGTCCAAGCTATCAACTTCAGTTTCTTACTGTAACCGTAACTGTAATGTGAACAGAACTTCTCAGCCATTCTGTATTTTTATCACTACATCAAATCATATAAATAGATCTTGGGTTGAATGAGAAACACTCTGGTGTTGGCCCTTTTTATCGGCTCAATCTCGGCCACTCCATTGATATTTCCCCGTGGAAAGCATCGTCCCCCGTTTTTGCTTGGACGACCACCCGGTGGACAGTTGAGGTAATAAAAACGAAAGATCAAACTCAAGATCAAGCTGGAGATCCAGCGCAAGATCAAGCTGAAGATCATGCTGAAGATCAAGCTGAAGATCAAGCTCAAGATCAAGCTCAAGATCAAGAGCTTTATTTCAAATTTTGCCATTTAAGTTATTCATTCTGCAGCAGCCAAAACTGCTGCCTTTGGTTAGCCCACAATTATAGCGCCTCATTCTAGAGAGTCGACTCCAACCGAAAGCAGCCCAATTGGGTTTAATTTTTGAAATAAAATTTGAATATTTAGCGATGTTTATTATCTAGTCGATTCGAGTTTTTTTTTGGCATTGCAATATCGTCTCTTAAAGTTAAGCATTTCGATTTACTTGTTCATTGAGTTTAGTGCTTTTGTATTGTCGGAAACTAGTTGGACATCGTTTTTTAGACATTTTTTGTATCTTTTGGACAACTTAGACAATATTATCTGTTAGAAAGGTAATAGAATTTATTTAAAAGAGTAAGAAGAGTGATTTGGTTTAACTTGACGATTGAAAGCATTGAAAAGAAAAAAGAGGTAACTTTTATCTGGAGCTAACTTTTATCTGGTGCAAAAAAAAACTCTAAAATAGTTCTATTTTTATAAAAAAGCTATCGTTTTAACATGCTGAAATTACTATAAACAATTCAAAAGCTGTAAAAACTAAGCTTGGCTTGGGCCAAAGATGGCTTGGCTCAAAGATGGCTTGGATCAAAGATGGTTTGGCTCAAAGATGGTTTGGCTCAAAGATGGCTTGGCTCAAAGATGGCTTGGGTCAAAGATGGCTTGGGTCAAAGATGGCTTGGGTCAAAGATGGCTTGGGTCAAAGATGGCTTGGGTCAAAGATGGCTTGGGTCAAAGATGGCTTGGGTCAAAGATGGCTTGGGTCAAAGATGGCTTGGGTCAAAGATGGCTTGGGTCAAAGATGGCTGAAGTGCTGAAATGCGTAGCTGGAAATGCTTAACTTTAAGAGACGATATAACAATGCTGAAAACTTCAATCAGCTAGATAATGAGTATCGAGGAATACTTGGAATTTATGCTCAAAGCCTACTTGGGCTGCTTTCGATTGGACTCGACTCTCTGGAATGAGGCGCTATAATTGTGGGCTAACCCTTACGGCTAACCCTTACGGCTAACCCGTAGAGCTACTAGGTTGGTGCAAATGAAATTTCGTTTTTTTACAAACATTAAAGTCATCCAAAATTTTTTTAGATAACAATTTATTTAAAACAATAAGCACCATTATTATCTATGACATCCCTCCAACGTTGCTACAGATTGCGGATCCCCTTCTCAAAGAACGCTTGATTCTGTGATGCAAAGTAGTTGATCACCCAATTTTCGACTTCTTTTGCATTCATAAACTGGCAATTCTCAAGGGAATGTTGCATCGATCTGAAAAGGTGAAAATCGGAGGGTGCTAAGTCTGGACTATACGGCGCATGTGGTAAGACCTTCCATCCTAGCTTCTCTAGTTCCTTACAAGAGGTTTTTGCCGTGTGAGCTGGAGCATTATCACGGAGAAAGTTGATAGTTGAGGGATTTAGGCCTTTTTCACGCAAAATTTCGTCAACCTTCTTGAGTTGTTGAATAAAATAAGATGAATCGACTGTTTTTCCGGGCTCTAATAATTCAAAATGAACAAGTCCATTGATATTCCACCAGCAAGACAACATCACTTTGCGCCCATGATAATCCGGCTTTGGAGTTGGAATTGGCGCTTGACCTTTCCTCAGCCATTGTCTTTTTCGAGAAGTATTATCAAAGTGAATCCACTTCTCATCCATCGTCAAGATATTCTCAAAAAAAATGGCTTCTTTTCGACTTATGGAGCAAGATATGGCTGATCGAAACGCGTGCTCCCAGATTCTCAACACTCAATTGATGTGGAACCCATTGTCCATTACGATTTGTCTTTCCAATTATTTCCAAATGGCGTACAATTGTTGAATGATCACATTGAGATGTTTGGCAAGTTCTCGTGTTGTTTGCATTGGATCAGCTTCAATTAATTGTTCCAATTCATTGTTGTCGATGGCTGTGGCACGATGTCCATGCGATTCGTCTTCAAGGGATTCATTACCATCTCGGAATTGGGCAAACCAGAGCTGGCATGATCTTTCGGTGATAACCTGTTCTCCAAAGGCGGAACAGAGATCACGATGTGAATCAGCAGCGTTTTTGCCCATTTTGGAGTCATAGAGAAGACACGTGCGCAGAACATACTTTTGATCCACCATGATCTAAAGCAAAAATCAATTAAAAGTGAAAGCTCTGACTTTGAAAAAATGCGAAAATAAAGTAAATATCCAAGAGTACAAATGCACAAAAGAACATCAAATAAGCTCTTCAGATTAAAAAAATAAGAACATTTTATATCGACCGAAATTTCTTTTGCACCAACCTAATAATGCTCTCTGGAATGAGGAAACTCTCTGGAACTCTCACTGTAGAACTTTGAACGGAAATAAAGATACCCCGTTACTGGTAGGAAAATGATTGTTGTAGATAGACTTCTAAACATTGCATCAGCTTCTTTCATTTCTCGACTTTCAGATCATCTTTCTATCATGCGACTGGCGGTCAGCACTCGCTTGTCGGTGATGATAATCCCTATCCATGGGTGGAAACGCTGTATTTCACCCAAAAACTCGATCACTACAATCAAACGAGCAGAGCCACTTGGCAACAGGTAATTTCAAAGAGATTTTAAAGCAAAAAAAAAATTCTAGAAATACTATCACAATCAAAAGTATTACGATGGGAAAGGTTTAATCTTCTTGATGATCGGTGAGTCGCAAATGAAAGTAGAACTTTGAGGTGCTTTGGTAGAACGTTGAGGTGCTTTGGTAGAACTTTGAGATGCTCAAAACCACCTAACAATAAAGAAACCACCTAACAAAAGATATTCAGGTGGTGAGGGTCCTGAGCCGATTCGATGGGCTGGCAATCCGGATGTCTCCTATTTAAAATGGGCCGCCGAATACGGGGCAATGGTTTTCAGTTTGGAGCACCGATTCTTTGGAGACAGTTGGCCGATCAAGTGAGATCAGAATTAATCAAAGACGAGATTTTAAACGCAAGAAACAAATCGCTAAAAACAAATCGCTAAAAAACAACTAACATTTGTTAGCAATCGCTCATTTGCAATTCAAGCCTGTTTTTCTTTTGCAGAAGTATGGAGTACGATGCCCTCAAACTGTGCACCACTCAACAAGCCCTCGCCGATCTAGCCACTTTCATCATGGCTATGAATAAGAAATATGCTTTCAGCAATCCAAGATGGGTCACATTTGGTGGAAGTTATCCGGGTAAATCAATTTAATGTAATGAAAAATGAGAATCGAATTCTTTTTGTCAAAGAAAAAAAAATGAAATCGTTGTCCAGGATCGTTGTCGGCTTTCTTCAGAGCAAAATATCCCGATTTGACTGTTGGAGCGATCGCCAGCTCAGCTCCAGTTAATTTGAAATTGGATTTTTACGGTAAGATCTAATCGTTCAAATTATTGAAAGCCTACTTTTCCCCAAATCAAATCAGACTCTTGAAAATCTCCACGGCAATCCAGATGTTTTGAAATTTGAAAGGATCGCCAAATACAGGCCAAATAGGAAGGCGAGGAGGGGAAAGCCCGATGGCCGGGTGGTTAGGGCGCTGGCACCGAGTTACGGAGGTCAAGGGTTCGAATCCTCCGCCGGTCGAAGTTTTTGCTTTTTTTAACAAAAGCTATTTCTATATAATTGAAATCGACCTCCAAATATAGTCCAAATAGGAAGGCGAGGAAGGCGAGGCTTAACAAAGCTATTATATATAGAAATTATAAGCGCTATAGGTTTCTCGCTCGTTTACTATAGATAAAAGAGTGTCTGTCTGCCTGCATATGTCTGTCAGACCGTCCGTCCGTCAGACCGTCACACGTACAGACGTACGCGCAAGTTTTCAGCTCCCCGTGAGCCGATTTACATGATCTTTAGTTTGTTAGGCTTAGAATTCTATCTACGGGGTTTCCCAAAAAAAAGTGGTCATCGCTTTAAATCTGGAAAAATTTTCCCATTGTTTTTTTCAAGGCTCATCGTAGTGTCAGAATTGGTTTTACCTCAGGCGTCACACAACAAGATGGAGTTGAGTTGATTTGTTTGATGATTTTGTGAATAGGAGGTCATGCATCGGCCGGAAAGCTCAAAATCCACGTAAAACATGAAAAACACACTTCAGAATTCCTCTATTTCACCACAAATCTTTCTAGTTTTTATTTCTAAAAATTTCTTTTGTTCTTTTAAGTTTCTAGCCATTTCAGTTTGGATTTTTGGATTGACTGCTTCAAAAATCTTGAAAATATGGCTAATTTTTGAACGAGAAAACCCTCTTGTTGCTGCTTTCCTAAGGCCGAATTTTTGGGGTCTATTTGGGGTTATTTTCAAGATCCTAGATCCAAGATTTCAAGATATCAAAAGAAACTTATAGAGGCAAAAAGTAGAAAGCTTTGTGGTGAAATAGAGGAATTCAGAAGTGTGTTTTTCATGTGTAGAAATTTTTCATTTCGTGTTCTACGTGGATTTTGAGCTCCCCGGCCGATGCATGACCTCCTATTCACGAAATCATCAAATCATCATCAACTCCATCTTGTTGTGTGACGCCTGAGGCAAAACCAATCCTGACATCACGATGAGCCTTGAAAAAACAACGGGAAGATTTTTTCAGACTCAAACCGATGCCCACTTTTTTCTCGGAAACCCTGATTCATCCCGTTTTTTTAAAAAACAAATGTCACGACACAGCGCGAAGTTCGACAACACTTACAGGCAGTTGCTGTAAGGCAGTTGCTGTAAAGTAGTTGCTGTAAGGCAATAGAAACAAGCGCGCTCCCGATCATGCCACAGCGACAGCTATAAAACGCGATGTTAGGCGGGGTTTTTCGGTTGGTGAGTACGCTTTTGTGACGGTGTACAGTTTCCTGAACTTATAGATGTTTGAAAAAACCAAAGCCTGAAGTTACCCAATCATTCTCTCATTTCAGAATACGCAATGGTGGTTGAAGACGACGTGACGATCACTGATCCGACTTGTCCGGGAGAGATTCGGAAAGCTTTTGATGCAATGCAGAAATTGAGTCTTTCCGCAGCTGGACGTGAAACATTGAACACAATCTGGAAGTAAGGTATTCGAGTTTTCTGAAAATCCGTTTATTCCAGCTTGCAACCCAAGTTCGACACCGAAACGACCAAGTTGGATATCACGAATTTCCTGGCGAATGTTTACTCACTTTTCCAGGGAATGATCCAGTACACATATGATGGACAGGTAGAAATTTGATTCAAATATTCGACTAATATAACTTTCAGTCTCAAATGACTCAAACGAACATCACAGCCAGGGCTTTATGCAATATGATGACCAATCAAAGTGTCGCGGATCCGATTCAAAGAGCTTACAACGTTTGGTTATGGTTTGTTGAATTTTGAAGGATGATTCTGATAAAGATTATGATAAAGATTATGATAAAGATCATGATAAAGTAAAAGTAAAATAAGTTAAGAAGTTAGTTCTTGTTCCTTTTCCAATTCTAGGGTTGTTTCAACCAGACTCTAAGCCACTGCCAGATCCCTGCCAAACTCTGCCAGAGTCCAGCCAGAAACCGGACTTACAAGTCCAGCCTTCAGCCCTGACTTCTTGCCATGGCTGAAGGCTGGACTGGATGGAGATCCATACTCGGACATCACGATTTTCTTGTCAAGTCAAATCTGCTGGCTGGCTTTTGGCTTTGCAAGAGAAATAATTATCTTTATAACAACTCTGATCCTAGGTACCAGAGTTTCTATGGAGATCCAGACTCGGACATCACGATTTTCCCGAACAGTTACTGGGATATGATTAGTTCGATGAGTATGAAGAACGTTAATGATATGGACGAAAATGGTGAGGATTATCAAAACGAATTTGTTCTATATTACTAGTGTGCTTTCTCATGAATTCACTACACGTACCGTAAATACTGTAATAGTACTGTAATAGTACGGTAGCTATCTAGCTTGAATGACTGTGTGCGCTTTAATGACTAACAAAACCAAGTTTATTCAATAAATGTAAGCTAGAGCGTGTGAAAATATTTCAAGAAACCTCAAAGAAACAATGTTTTGAACTAGAGATTAAAAAGGAATCACTTTGAAAACTCAAATATCTCAAACTCAAATAACTCGAACAAAAGAACCCAAGTTTCACGAGACAAAATGAGGAAAAATCCTGATTCAATGAGAAAGGTGGCGTCCTTTTATACGCTTATGGGCGACATTGTTTAGGCTACGGTATTTCTGGTGTCTTATTAGATTTCGGCAGTTTCACTGATGAAAAGCAAGAAGGTGGCGCGCTTATATACGCGTACGAGCGCGCGCGACATTGTAGAGAGATTTCTAATGTACTGAAATAGACAAACGAGAATGCTAATTTCCCCAAATTGACATGCAATTCGTGCAAGTGGCCTTCTTGAAGCTATTGAAAATAAGCTTAAGGAAGCTAAGCTTAAGGAAGCTAAGCTTAAGGAAGCTAGGCTTAAGGAAGCTAGGCTTAAGGAAGCTAGGCTTAAGGAAGCTAGGCTTAAGGAAGCTAGGCTTAAGGAAGCTAGGCTTAAGGAAGCTAGGCTTAAGGAAGCTAGGCTTAAGGAAGCTAGGGCTTAAGGAAGCTAGGCTTAAGGAAGCTAGGCTTAAGGAAGCTAGGCTTAAGGAAGCTAGGCTTAAGGAAGCTAGGCTTAAGGAAGCTAGGCTTAAGGAAGCTAGGCTTAAGGAAGCTAGGCTTAAGGAAGCTAGGCTTAAGGAAGCTAGGCTTAAGGAAGCTAGGCTTAAGGAAGCTAGGCTTAAGGAAGCTAGGCTTAAGGAAGCTAGGCTTAAGGAAGCTAGGCTTAAGGAAGCTAGGCTTAAGGAAGCTAGGCTTAAGGAAGCTAGGCTTAAGGAAGCTAGGCTTAAGGAAGCTAGGCTTAAGGAAGCTAGGCTTAAGGAAGCTAGGCTTAAGGAAGCTAGGCTTAAGGAAGCTAACCTTATTGAAAACCTTTTTAGGAGCTGATCGTGGCTGGATGTGGCTGTGTTGCAATGAGATCGGTTTCCTTCAGACAACCGATCAAGGAAGGAACATTTTCGGAGCAACTGTTCCGTTAAAGTTTTCGAAAAAAACATAAACCTAAAAGATTTCTATTTTTTTTCAAGCTATTTCCTCGACATGTGCACGGATCTTTTCGGCTCGGCGGTCACTTCGGATTTTGTACGCGACAAAAACATTGATGCTGAAAATTTCTATCAATTCGCTAGTGAGGTGGTTTTTCCTTAAACAAGCTCCACTTTGATGTACTCTTTTGTTTGCAGAAACAAGCAAACAAACAAACATACACACACCCACGCAAACACATCCTATCTGGTGTACTTATTTTGAACACTTTAATATCAAAGTATTGAAGTAAATGCACAAGAATGCACCAGAAAAGATGCACCAGAAAGACAAAGGATGAAGAGCTAAAGTTTAAACAATTCAGGCAACAAATATCGTACTCCCGAATGGATCACTCGATCCATGGCATGCTCTTGGTACTTACACAGTCGATGCGGCAAATGGAGTGGCTCCATACTTGATCAATGGTAAGTTTTGAATTCTACTACCGTTTCCTCTCTAGTGCACCCTGAGCGTCGCCTAAATTGCTCGAAATCTCGAGAACCGCTTATCAGAACCTATCGATGTGGGGTCGGAAAATGTAGCTGACGATGAGATCTAGTGAGGGATTTGAGTATTGAGCTTCTGGGAAAACTTTGGATGTCGTAAAATGGTCATTAACTCGGCTCGACCGGGGGGAGGAGGAGAGGCCGGGGGGAAGAGGGCACTACAATTAGAGAAAATACAGAATACCGTATTTTCTCTAATAGTAGAACACAGTACTCAACCTAATAGGAAGATAGCAGTTGAAACAATGCTAGTTGACAATAAGTGCATCTGATAAGCTGAGCACTATTGCTTATTTGGCGTATTGATCAATAGACAGAGCAGCTTTAGTTATCTCTTCAGCATCTTCAGTTATTTCTTCAGCATCTTCAGTTAGATTCAGTTATTCATCTTCAGTCGGGGAAAAAGTGTGACTACAAAATGGCGTTTTAAAAAGGCTGAAAATGTACAAAATTCTCACTTTAAGACTCTTGAAACATTGAATTGATTGAAATTGAAATTGAAATACTGTAGCTGGATGAAGGGCTAAAAATAAAAGCAATTACCTATTCATTGAAACAATTTACATTACCATAGTTCTTTGTTTACAGTACCATAGTTTCCTGATTCAGGCACGGCTCACTGCTCCGATATGTACCCAATCTACGATGGAGAACCACCAGCTCTTGTGGCTGCTCGTTTATTCATTGAGCAAAATCTTGCCGTATGAATCTTTTCTTTAACACTTATGTAAGAAATTTTAGTATTTCATAAACAATTCCACACAACCTACCATACCGACCATTGTTCCACCGATCTCGTCCACCGTTTCCATCTCGACGGCGAGTCTTGGAACAACTACAGTGGCCACAATGGGAACTGGACCAACTACAGCCAACACAGGACCAACTACGGCAACTACAGTCAACACAGAATCAACTACAACCACCACACCCAATACTGGCCCTACAACGACGACTATGACAACTACGACTACGACAAATACTCCATACACAGGTTAGCAGGGAATTTTGGAGACTAAAAGAACACTAGGCTTGTTCGGCACTTTGTAAAGATCCTTTCTGGCACACCATTTGACTTGTAGCGTTTGTAAAGATTGTCTATAGGAACCGGCTCAACAAGCACAATAACGACAATGGCCCCAGCCACTGCAGGCACTGGCCCAACAACCACTGCAGGCACTGGCCCAACAACCACTGCAGGCACTGGCCCAACAACCACAAATACTGCAAATCCGGGTGATTCATCATCCCCGACGACCACGAAATCGGTTACAAGTGTGAGATTCTCATTTACTTTGTTATTGCTTTCGTTGATTGCTTTGGTTTTGTAAATGGTGAGCAATAAATTCTTATCTTTATCTAGTTTTAGCTCCTCTATTGGGCAGAACTCAAAAGTAAGCCTGGCTGGCTTCTAGCTTTGTTGTGAGCCTGGCCTGGCCTCTAGCTTTGTTGCGGGTCTGGCTTCTAGCTTTGTTGCGAGCCTGGCCTGGCCTCTAGCTTTTTTGCGGGCCTGGCTTCAAGCTTTGTTGCGAGCTTGGCCTGGCCTCTAGCTTTGCTGCGGGCCTGGCCTGGCATGTCATACAAAAAGTACCTGTGCCTACCAAAGTACCTCAGCCAGGTCTGGACCTGGTTTCTAGCTAGGTTTTGGCCTTGCTTTGCTTTTCCTGATTCAAGTCCTAGAGGCCAGATGGCTTACTACAGGGAACCGACAATACCTACAACACCATATGTTTCCCATTCTTTTATCCAAACAGAACAAAATCTTTAAACTTTATTAAACTTTGTACAAAAACATTTAATGCTTCGCGAGCTTTTCTCGTTGCTTCTCGAAATATTCGTACTCGGGTCGAGGGAGATCGTTGATGATCAAGAGGATCGGGATTGGATAAGCCAAATGTACCTAATATGATCGATTTTTGAGTGAGTTTTTTTTTCGCCAAACCTGCATCGATTGCATGTTTGTCAATTGGGTCATTTTTGCCTCCAAAACGGTGTCGATTTTGGTGGCGAATGCGAGGAAATCCTGGTTGGACACTTTCTTCTGAGCGGCTGTTAGCAACTGAAATTGGTATGCTTAAACAGGTGGTAATTTTCAAGAATTTGATGTTCAATGGCTACAAGGACACTTACAGTACTATCTAGGAATAAATTTGACTTGCTATGTGTTCTTTATGCTTAAAAAACTAACAAATTTGGACATAGAGATTCTTTGAGAAACTTCTCTTCTTTATATAAAAAAACCTCTGTCCGTTTGTGCGCGCACTACGCTCGTCGCCTATTTTAAAAAAACGCTGAAACACGTGTCTAATGAAATTTCATGTAGTTGTGGCTTTTAAAAGGAATTTTGCAAAAAGTCAAAGTAGGTCAAATTCAAGTGACTGGTTTCCAAATTTAATCGTTAATTTGTTGTTCTTTTCTTTCAAATAAAGATTTTAAAATTAAAATTTTCCTCTCTAAAGTTTTAAAGTTAAAAGTTTCCTCTCTGTTTACCTACAAAGCTTTTTATCTGAACCTAATAATTATTGGTCATCCTTTACTTGCTAACGATAATTTGTATCCAAGCACTTTGTGTGTGCATATTGTGTGCACCAGAAAGGGTTTGTTCCTACGTGAGCACACGTAGCTCATCTTAAACGAGAAAATTCACTTCTTGTGCCGCATTGTGGACACCAGCGGTGACATTTGAGAAAGCCTCTTTCACGGCTCCAGTCAGAGCTTGAAGATTTGGAGCGGTCGTCTTGAACGATTGCCAGAAACGGTAGCCACCCTAGAATGAGTTTGTTGGCTAAAAAATCCTTTGACTGAAATGATTTGTTGAATTTGTTGGCTAAAAATGGTTGCATTTAGTTGGTCTACATTGCTCCAAATGCACCAAATGGTCTACATTGCTTCGATTAGACTCAAATCTTTCTATTAGTTTGGTAAAAAAGAAATGCGCGTTTTCGTTAAAAGTCTATTTTATTATAAAAACAAGAAACAATTATTATAACAATACATTAATCCAAAAGGTATTCGCCATCTGCATCAATGACTTGTCGCCAACGTTCACGCAGAGAATGGATGCCCTTCTTGAAGAACTCGACCGGCTGCGACTCGAAGAAGTTGGACACCCAAATTTGGACCTCGTCGCGGTCCTTGAACTTTTTCTCGGCCAAGGAGTGGTGCATTGATCGGAACAGATGGTAGTCGGAAGGCGCCAAGTCTGGGCTGTATGGCGGATAAGGCAGGACTTCCCAGCCCATTTCTTCAATTTTCTGCTGGGTGATTTTTGCGACATGCGACCGAGTGTGCTCGTGGAGGAATTTTGTCGACGCCGTATCCACACCTTGACGTCGCAGCACCTGGTCCACGCGGTCCTATTGGCCTTGGTAGAGCTTCGCCGTAACTGTTTGACCCGAATCCAGAACCTCAAAGTACACCAGGCCTTTACTGTTCCACCAAACACAAAGCATCACCTTTTTTCCGTGGATGTCCGGTTTTGGAGTCGGTTTTGGAGCTTCACCGGGGTCCAACCACTGCCGCTTTCTTGCTGTGTTGTCGTATTGGATCCACTTCTCATCCGACGTAACAATGGAGTCGAAAACCCTACTGTTCTTGGCGCGGTGAGTGAGAATTCCGGCGATTGCGATGCGTGTCGCCTTGTTTGCGTCGGATAGCTTATGCGGTACCCATTTTCCGCATCTATTCGTCTTGCCCATGCCATGCAGATGGTTCTCAATGGTGACATGAGTGCAGCCGAACTGTTCTGCCAGGTCGAGAGTGGTTGGTAAAAACCGAGTGGTTGGTCGCCCTTGTCGCGGTTCTTGAACTTTTTCTCGGCCAAGGAGTGGTGCATTGATCGGAACAGATGGTAGTCGGAAGGTGCCAAGTCTGGGCTGTATGGCGGATGAGGCAGGACTTCCCAGCCCATTTCTTCAATTTTCTGCTGAGTGATTTTTGCGACATGCGGCCGAGCGTTGTCGTCGAGGAATTTTGTCGACGCCGTATCTTTTACTGTAAATAAAATACAAATCAACAAACACGACGCTCATTTCTTTTTTACCAACCTAATAGCATGTTGCGCTCGCCGATGTCCTACTGTAAAAGTCTACTGTAAAAGTTCGAGGGCAAATTCTTGAGCCATTTTTGCTCACCTTTCTCAACTGTTGTCGTGCGGCGAATCGAGCCAACACACCGACGAATTTGTGCAAGTTGTTGTACTCGGATTCGGGGGTTTTTGAGAGAAGTTCAAGGCACTGGAAATCAAGTAAATCTTGGGAAAACAGTGAAAATCTCTGACTCAATTGGATAAATTTTCTTTCATACACCAGATTAAGCAGTACTACTGTTTTTTTCACAGTAAAGTCGGCTTAACTGGCAAATAAAGAGTGAAAAACTCGCGTGACTCGCCCTCATTTGCATTCACTTATCGTAACTCAGCCTACTTATCGTAACTCAGCCTATTTATCGTATCGTAACTCAGCCTACTTATCGTAACTCAGCCTACTTATCGTAACTCAGCCTATTTATCGTATCGTAACTCAGCTTACTTATCGTATCGTAACTCAGTTTACTTATCGTAACTCAGCCTACTTATCGTATCGTAACTCAGGCTACTTATCGTATCATAACTCAGCTTACTTATCGTAACGTAACTCAGGCTACTTATCGTAACTCAGCTTACTTATCGTAACTCAGCCACGGAATCTTTTAGTGAATTTCTAAGTGATGATGATCTTGGAAGCTATGACAGTCAATTTCACAAATGGAAACTGATAACTCGTTCTAATCCATCTAGCAAATGGGGCTACAAAAAAGATTCCGATGAGAATTCCGAATCAAAAAGGAAATCGCGCCTTATAAAAGGGGATTTGAAATAGCGGACGTCTAAAGGATGACTTCGCTTTTCTGAAAAAACCCATCACATTTTATCTTTACTTCAACAATTCCATCACTTACATCCGAATACACATTTTTCTTCACATGCCACGTGAGTTTTTTTTGCAATTCATCGAGTTTCTCCGTGTATTCCCCATTCACTTTTGTCAGCAATTTCTCCAATGTTTCGTCTTTTCCTTTCACCGAAGCACGGGACTAAAGAGAAAATACAAAAAGCCGATTTTTCATCATTTTTCTTTCTAAGCATTGATTAAGGCTAAATTAAGGCTAAAAAGATGTGTTTTATTTTAAAAAAAAACCCCACTCATCCTCTCTACTTTAATTTGATACAAAAGCGCATAGAATAGTGTGTGTTCCTCGAGAGTAATGCGTTTTTTAAAACGCACATTTGGGAAAAAAAATCACCGTACTTTTAGCAAAAATTATTGCAAAAAAATGACGCAAAAATCACGAGCCCCGCATTATATACGACTCTTTTTAAAGATACTCAGCCTTTTAACTGATTTGGTGGGAAATTCGCTTCCAATGTAAAAAATGATTTTGGGGTAGGCTAATTTCCGCAAATTTTTTTTTGCGCAACTGGGTCGTTTGCGCAACTCGCCATAACTCGCTTCTAAGTCAGCCAATCTTTATAATTTTCGTTTCATTTTGTTGCACTTATTGAGATCTACAAAAGGAAACCAAAATCATAAAGATTGGCTGACTTAGAAGGAAGTTATGTTGAGTTCAACCCACAGTATCAGCTCACTGAAAATTGCTAGAAATCTGAAACTTTTTCTATCAGAAAGCCTAGATTATCAGCTTCATTTTGATCTCAAACATTCAACAAAAATCTTCAAAAAGTACTCTAAAAGGGTTATCGATACTTAACGAGGCCTTAACGAGGCCTCATTCAGAGTAGTAATTTGAAAGTTTAATGTGATTTTTGAGTACTATTTTAAAGGAGTTTGCCAAATTTTTTGTATCAAAATGAAGCTAATAGCATTGGCTTTCTAATAAAAAAAGTTTCAAATTACTAGCGACTTTCCGTGCGCCGATATGACTGTCTGAACGGGAGCAACCCTAAAATATCGTTAGCCATGTCTAGCTTCGAGTCTAAAATATCGTTAGCCATGTCTAGATTTAGTAGTAAAGTTTGGAGATTGTTAAAATATAGGTTAAACGGTTCAAAAACGGATATTCCTTATATTGAATGGATTCAAAAATGGACGAAATTCATTAACAAAACACGGCTAAACATTTCAAGCTTTAGTTTTCTGTAAAATTCACTTTTTCCAGCGTTCCACTGATTTCATCGAGTAATTTCTTGGCTTGACTCTCGAATTGTTGCCGTAATTTTTCGATGAGTGGAAGTGATTTGGGGAGGAGCTCGTTGAGGTCATTTTTCAACTGAAATCCGATCGATTGATTGTTAATTATCATAGCCGTTGTTAATTACTATAGCATACTATACCATTTACCTCATCAAAGTCTTTCTCCTCTTCGGGCATCTTTGCAAAGAGCGCCGTCGAGTTCGCGATCTCGTCGCGTGGAGCCAAATGCGCCAACTTCAACACAATCAACGGATATGTTAACTGAAATTTTGAAATTTTCAATGTATTGGGTTGGTGAATTGAAAACTGCGGGACTCTGAACTAAAATTTATTCAACATAAAGCCATGAATTCATTCCAAATAATTTCCATTATTATTGACGACTTCTGCCCATTTTACAGGCAATTTGCGGATTCCTCTTTCGTAGTAGGATTTTGGTTTTGAATCGAAAAACTTTTCGAGCCAATTTTTGACTGCTTCTTCCGAATCGAAGTGTTCTCCCGCAAGCTCATTACTCATGGTCCGGAATAAATAGTAATCAAAAGGGGCGAGGTTCGGACTGTAAACTGTAAACTGTTCGGACTGGGGATGCGACAAAAGTTCCCAAACAAGGCTATTTATTTTAGGGGGAGTCAGTTTTACAACATGAGGGCGCGCGTTGTCGTGGAGGAGAACGATCTTTGACTTGGAGGGCCTATTCTTCTTCAGAGATTCATTGCGGATTCCTCTTTCGTAGTAGGATTGGTTTGGTCTGATTTGGTTTGTGTGTGAGACAAGTGTGAGACTCAAAAATGGAGGACTGGAGATGTCCGATAGAGAGTTTGAGCACTTTCTTCAAAAGAAACCCATTTTGGTGTCAATAGAAAAGTTGTAGAGAATCAAAAATTAGGCTTATAGCCAAATTTCCAAAAAGACACACTTAGTAGTTTTGCTTAAAATGCAAGTTTTGTGAAAAATTTCATTTGGCAACGTAAATTTGGCATTTCTTGAAAACCAGTTTTTGAATCGTTCTGAAAATTTGGATATAAGCTTGATTTTTGATTCTCTACAACTTTTCCATTGACACCAAAATGGGTTTCTTTTGAAGAAAGTCCTCAAACTGTCACATATGACAATAGCCGGCAGTTTTCAATTCACCAACCCAATAAATACAATAAATGAATAGATTCAAGATTACTGAATAGAATAGATTCTAGATCCAGATCCAGATCTAGATTCCTTTTCGGCTAACCCACATTTTGTGGATACAAGAACTTCTCATTTTTCAACTCGGTGAAATCCCCGTCAAGCGCCGCCTCGAAATCGCTCAACGCCTTCAGGCTATTCGGCGAATTTCCGAAGCTCTTCAAGTTTTCCTAAATTTATGCAACTTTCAAAATTAATGAAAAATCATTTGAAAAAAACCGTTTTCAATTTCTCCTTGTAGTCAGCGATGAAAGTGTCGAAAAATTTCAAGACTTTTCGAGGCAATGAGGTGAGTTTTGAGGTGTAAACGGGCGAGAAGATGAAGTTGTAGTCGAGGATCTGAAAATATTAGAAACTAAAGCTTTTGACGCTTTTGTCTTTCACCTCATTTCCATCAACAATATCAGCGGTCTCGAATAAATGGCTTCGGACTGTCAAAATCTCATCTTCTTCAATATTGGCCAATGTGATGTTGACAATATTCACCTAGAAGTTCGATACTTTGAGAAAAGGTAAAAGTAAGTATTTGGTAGTAAGGCTTTAACTATTTTAACATTATTTTAACAGTTACAGTCGCAGCTACAGCTACGAGCTACAGTCGAACTTCTTTATAACAAACGTTCAACAAAACGTGAACTTTTATATAACGGCTTTTGTGAGCCCATGAGGCTTTTGTGAGCCTTGAGCCCATGAGGCTTTTGTGAGCCTTGAGCCCATGAGGCTTTTGTGAGCCCTTGAGCCCTTGAGGCTTTTGTGAGCCCTTGAGCCCTTGAGGCTTTTGTGAGCCCTTGAGCCCTTGAGGCTTTTGTGAGCCCTTGAGCCCTTGAGGCTTTTGTGAGCCCTTGAGGCTTCTCTGAGTTCTGGCTTCTCTGAGTCCCAGCAAAACGTTTAATAAAATGCTAACCTACAAGCTTTTACATAAAAGATTTTCCTTATAACGATATTTTGTTGGAAAATAGTTCTAAGTTGCGTTTCTCTATAATGTTTTTTTCTTGAATCGAACTTGAATCGAATTATGTTTTCTAAACAATCTTCTAAACAAAACGATGGTTAAAGATCTGATTTTTTGCTTCTACATAATGATTTTCTGTGTTTTCTGTATATTTCTATATAAAGATATTTATTCTTGGTTTCTTGCATATCTTTATAGAGAGTATATCTTGCTATTTATCTGCGATCTTGCATTACTTACTATTTACAACAGGCAACATTCAGTTGCTAAAGTCAAACTCAAAGTAACTCTTGAGCCTTTTTTCAACGTCGACTCTGAAGCCTACTCTAGCTACCGTAACCCAGCGTTTAAATCATAGGATAGATCTAATTGCAATTCAGTTGATGAAGAGTGATCTTTGCAACGCTTGAACGCGTATTATTGTAAGATTGACTAGTTTGAGTTACGGCGCGTGGTAGCTGTGCCATTCTTTACATTTTCTAAAGCTCGAAAAACGATTTCAAGTAAACTAAGAAAGTAAACTAAGTGTTTAGATATGTTTTTCTATTTTCCAACTTTCTAAACCCACCACATGCTTGAGGATCGAGAGTTTCGCTTCTGTGGCATTGCTTTTGTAAGTTTCCTCCAAATTGTGCTTTTCTTCGGCGAGTTGCGCCATTTCATTCGGATGTTTCTTTGAAATATCAGCAACTGCCTGCAAGTGTTTTCTTATTATTTTCGAAGCTCTAATTGTATGTGAATGCAAGAAAGCTAATTGTAAGTGCCGTAGAAAGTGTTTTTTTTTCTTTGGCCAGTTTAGTTTTTTGGCCAGTTTTTGGCCAAACTGTACCTGCATGTAAAATCGAGGAATTGACCCATAGAGGAGTGTGATTGGGTTAGCGAGCTTCTCCTCAAGTTTCACCAAACTTTTTGATGTCACTGGGCAATTCTTTGAGAGCTCGGAGATCACCTGAAAGTTTGGAAAGATGAACAAAAGTTTTGTAAAGTGGTCTGACTGACAAAACTGACAAAAAAGCTGGTCAGAAAGCTAATTTTTTGAACTGGGTTACTGTAGTTGGTGCAATTAGTTACAGAATCAGTTACAAATGAAGATAAACGTTTTCTGTTTTGGATGAAAGATGTACTTTTTGGTTCTTGCGTAGTTTCCGGGTATTTTGGAAAAATCCGGGTATCTTGAACGGGTCAGCATGCTTTGAAGGTCGATAACTTTGTCCAGAGATAATATTTTTGCTAACTTTTTATATCATTGTATAGAGGACATTTCAGGCTTTCAATGATACCAATTAGAGCTTAATTAGATAATCCAGTCTAAGAAAATCAGAGCCGACTCTCGACAAATGAGGCCTATCCAACTCGGGTGCCTTATCGCCTTGTTTTCTTGGACTGGATTAACCAATTAAGCTTTATTTGATATGATCTGAAAGCCTGAAATGTTCTCTGTACAATGATATGAAAAGTTAGCAAAAATATTGTCTCTGGACAAAGTTATAGGGTTTCAAAGTGTGGCGAGCCGTTCAAAATACCCCTATCCTTTCCCTATGTTGTGTCGCCTGGTTTTCTTGGACTGCAAAAGCGAATCAAGCTCTATTTGGTATCATTTAAAAGCCTGAAACGTTCTCTATCCAATGATATAAAAGGTTAAGAAAAATATGATTTCTACACAAAGTTATCGACCTTCAAAGCATGCCGACCCGTTCAAGATACCCGAAAACTACGCGAGAGCCTACTTTTCTAATATTTTGGGGTACTTTGGTCTAATTCTTTTGACAAAGACTGATATCTTTCAAAGAACTAGATGAAATGGTAAATCAATCTTTAAATCTTGATGTCTCTGAAGATGACTTACATGTCTCTGAGGCTCAAATGGCCAATCATCACACAACTCCTTCATTCAACTCACCTCATTCGTTTCTCTTATCGTCCACCCATCTGGCAACTTGACCGCTTCACCAATCACCACCACAAATAACAACAACAAGATCCTTTTCAATCCCATCAATAACAAATGTTTTCAGATTCCAAATTCCAAATCTACTCAAAGCTTTCAAACGAAAAATGAGTTACTTTGAAATCTTTCGAACTGTCAAATATCGCCAAAAAGTGAGTTTATCCTTTTTCTTTTCCTTGATTTCCATGAATGACCTCGACTCTCTCAAAAATCCCAAAAAGATAACTCAAAACTTTTCCCGAACACTCTTTTTCCCCAAAATCATTTCCCTCTTTTTGAGAGCACAAAAAAAAACTTAGAAAACTCTTTTTTGCGATTCCATTAGGATCGGGAAATTTTCTCAAAGGCTATCCCAAAAAAAAGTGTTCCGAAAATTTTTGACTGACCGCTAATTTAATTGAGAGGTAAACGGGAGAAAAACTTCTAATGTGCTTGAATTCGGAGAAAAGTTTCCTTTGAGTTTTGCTGGGGTTTTGAAGTGTTCTCACGGGTCAACGGAGTTCACGAATTAACTACTGACGAAGGTCAGGTGGTTTGACGTATCGTACTTGGTTTGACGTATCGACTTTGTCGTTGTTGAGTAAAATGGCTCAGGTTTGAAGTGGACAACTTTGTTGGTAAAGTTTTGAGAGTTTAGCACTTTAAACCGCTCTTATCTATGGAATTTAAGGTAATTGGAAACAGAAAAAAAGGAAACCGTTGAAAAGTTACAAAATCGACTTTTGGCAAACAGTTCTGACAAATGTTTAGTAAAACAAGTTGCACGAGGACACTTGTAGCTCAAAAACGGTTGCATATCCAAGTTTATCACATTTAACTATTCCTGGTCTAGCTCTGATTGATTTTGTGCACATTCTACTCCTGACGCATTCTAAAATGCGTCTATTTCGTTGTTTTAAGTAAGAAGAAAAAGAAAAAATTTCATTCTGATAAATTCTGGCATAATTAGGTCCGTTTTTACTTAGGTTTTAAGTTAAATATCATTAGTTAACTACCGTAAATACTGTAATAGTACCCCACCCCCATAATGACGGTGCGGAGCGTTGCGTAGTCTAGCTTTGAACGTGTTTTTCTCGACACTGGTTTATGCTACAATGCGCGCTTAGGTATCAAAAAATAGCACTGAATTTCAGCTATTTTTTTGATAACAAAGACACATGTTTTGGAAGTACGGATGCTTTGCAAAAAATGAAATACTAAAAAACTTTTGCGACTACCCGACTGTACGAGGGGGTGGGGTACTACAGTCATGGACAAAAGTCTTGGCGGGTCCTGGGTGGCAACTTTCAAACGCAAATTTAGGAACCTTCCCGAGAGGCTATAAAAAAAGTTGTCACAAGTATTTTTGAGCATTTTTACTCTACTTTTAGCTATGACCAAGCATTGAACTCGAAAGTTTATTTTAGACAACAAAAATAAGCGTCAAAGACAAAAAGGTCACAAAAACAATGGACAAAAGTCTTGGCGGCACATACATAGAGGCGAAAAATTCAATATTTTGTAGGTCCGCCTTTAGCTGCAATGATTGCTTGGAGCCTCCGGGGCATACTGTGAACTAGATCGCGTAAAATTTGTGGCGCAATTGTCACTCAAACTCACCGTACGTAGTACCAAAGATCCGCCTTAGAGCTAAACCGTCTTCCCTTGAGTTTCGTCTTGATAAACGCCCATAGGTGTCCAATAACATCCAAATCGGGGCTGTATGGAGAAGCTGAAACGAGTTGAACACGATTCGCGCGGAACCATCCGAGTAGTCGAACACTTCCTCCATTGGCAAGTCGAATAGTGTGGCCCATAAGCAACTGACTCTTGTGGCAAAGAGCGTTGTCCTGGTAGAGGAGCCATCCTTGTCCCATTTTGGCGGTCGCAAAAGGAAGAAATTTGTTCTCCAGGATCGTCTTGTAGCGTCTTGTAGCGCTGGGCATCAAGAGTCGAGTTGAGAAGAACCAATGGACCCGGTGAACTTCTTGCCATAGCTCCTAAAAAACAAGATTAATATACATAACAAAAGAGAGTCTCTTACCCCATACCATGACCGCTTCACCACCAAAGTTCACCGTCGGACGCAAGTATTTAGAGTCTCTTTCGAGTAACTACGGTGAACTTTGGTGGTGAAGCGATCATGGTATGGGGTAAGAGACTCTCTCTTGTTATGTATATTAATCTTGTTTTTTAGGAGCTATGGCAAGAAGTTCACCGGGTCCATTGGTCCTTCTCAACTCGTCTGTCCTTTTGTCCATGATTGTATTACAGTATTTACGGTAGTTTCTTTTTATCTTTTTGTACGTGTTCTTGTTCACTTTATCAATCTTTTGTTTAGTTTTCTTTTAGGATACATTTTTTAAGAATTTGCACGGAGCTCCTAAACCCATTGTCCTTGGCTCTTACCTCTGATTGCATGGCATGACCGTCGTTGATCAACAAGCCTTTAATTGTGAAGTCACCATCGTTCAATGGCACCAATGGTACCGTGATGTAATTGTCGAAATTTTTTAAAATCCTGTTGCTCCTGGTTGATGGTCCTGGTTAAATTGTTTGTATTGATGAGGCGCATGTTGTTAGAAGAAAGTATAATGTCAGCCGAGTAGTTCGTAAGGATTGGTTAGTTGGAGGAGTTGTGCAAGGCACTAAGCAATGTTTCACTGAGTTGATCAGTACCCGCGATGCTCAAACCCTTGAGGGAATCATCTAAAAATGTGTTGCCAGGCATTAATTTGCACACCGACTGTTAGAGAGGTTACAATAACCTGGCCAGCTTAGGATATGTGCATCAAACAGTGAATCATTCATAAAATTTTGTAAATCCAGCAACTAGTGTCCACACTCAAGCAATTGAGTCTCTTTGGAGTCAACTAAAAACAAGAATTCGGATGAGAAACGGCATTAGGCTCTAGGACGACCATTTCTTTGAAGTTTTTTGGAAATGGCAACACAGTTCTGAAAACTTGATGTACCTTTTCTGGAGTGAAATGGCCAAGAAGTACCCTCTCACTTGATCTTCTTGACTTTATGAGTGTCCCTGTTGTATTTTTGTTGTCCTTGTTGCGTTTTGTTATTGTTGTTTCTCATTATTCAATGTTGTTAAAATAAAACATAAAAGACTAACATAAAAATTAATAAAAAACATTATAAAGTATTACTAATCGATTCAGCATAGTCAAAAACCTCTGTATGCAAGTTTTTGTGGAAAAATATTGATTTTGGTCAAGTTCCAGACTTCCCCCCAACAACTCTAGCGCCCAAAAGTCTAATTGTTGCACGTTATAAAGGTGTTGAGCATGGAAATAAGACGATGATTGAAATATGGGTCTGCTCAAGTCAAGTTGAATTCTCTCCGAACTTTATTAGTACTAATATGATTGAAGTCGTGCTTGATAAAGAGTCTTTTTAGGATGTCGCTGCTCTTACCTGTTTATCTACGGATCACTCCTCTTAAGTTTTTGGTGATACGGATAGCTCCTCTTAAGTTTTTGCTGCTACGGATAGCTCCTCTTAAGTTTTTGGTGATACGGATCGCTCTTCTTAAGTTTTTGCTGCTACGGATCGCTCCTCTTAAGTTTTTGGTGATACGGATAGCTCCTCTTAAGTTTTTGCTGCTACGGATCGCTCCTCTTAACTGTTTGGTGATACGGATAGCTCCTCTTAAGTTTTTGGTGCTACGGATAGCTCCTCTTAACTGTTTGGTGATACGGATAGCTCCTCTTAAGTTTTTGCTGCTACGGATCGCTCTTCTTAAGTTTTTGCTGCTACGGATCGCTCCTCTTAAGTTTTTGCTGCTACGGATCGCTCCTCTTAAGTTTTTGGTGATACGGATCGCTCCTCTTAACTTTTTGCTGCTACGGTTAGCTCCTCTTAACTGTTTGGTGATACGGATGGATGTATTCAACTTCATAGAACGTGTATTAATGGGATAATTGACGGAAATATGGTGATTTTATAAATATAATATCTAATTTTATATTTTTAGTCATACAATTTCGATCTCTACAAGGGCTTCTTCAATAAATCAACGGTATTCCTATATTTCATCAAAAAAATTTTATGGTGTTTCTAGAAAGTACAATTCAACCTATTGGCTACGTTGTTGGTCAGAAATTCAATGGAGCTTTTTGATTTGATTCAGGCAAAATTGTTTACATTGTAAAGTATGAAATTCACGTTTAGATGTTGGAAAAAGCTCGGAACTTTGACCGAATTCTAGACATCCTATACAGTGTTTCACTTTTTGATCCTGAAGAGGTAGCTTGTTTTTTTTATTATGAAAGATTTGGTTTTAGGTATTCAGATACTGCATGAAAAGCGATTCCCTCCAATGACAAAGCTAGATTTCGATTTGAGGATTATTGCAAAGATGAATGTACGTATTTTTTCTATATTTTGTGCAATTTTTTTAGTTGATGAGAAATGCAATGGAAAGCTGGAGTTGTTGTGTTTTGACGATAGAATGAGAAACGATAGAAATATCGATTGCAAATGGAAATTTATTTATATAAACCAGGTTTGTATTTTAGATTTAAACTTTACATGAACAATTTAGCCCGTCAGATATCAGCTTTTCGTGTCTTGCTTGACTTCTGAATCATCATCAATCATCATCAATCATCATCAATCATCATCATCATCATCAATCATCATCAATCATCACTTTAATGTTACGCGAAGAGGTAACGTATTTAAAGCATTTTAACCTTTAATATCTATTTAGTATTTGTCCAGCCACAACTTTACAATCGCTATTTACTAGAATAAATACCAAAATGAATGGAAAAGAAACGTCAATGAAAAGTTATGCAAGGTTAATTTGAGTCGAGTATTCTTCAAAGTTCTTTTGCAGATATTGTTCGAAATGTGTGCCGAGTGATCGACTAAAGTTTCCTCAATGTTGCACTCCCAAACAGGCGCAGGGTAAAGCTGTTTAAATGAAATAAAATCTTTTATTATAGGTTGATCGTGGCTGTTGCGTTTATTGTCTTCATTTCACTCATCTTGTCGATTCTCTTTTTTGCTATGGTTTGTAACAATTTATTATTCTACTAACGCTAACATCTAAAACTATTAGTGTTTTAGTTTTGGGATCAAATCGCGAAATCTCCGTTTCAATGGTACGAGAAGATAAGCGATAAAAGACGTAAACAAAAACACCTAATTTGGTCATCGATATCGTTTGGATTGCCTGCGTTTTGGTAAATATTACTCGAAACAAAGGTATTTTTATTGACTAGGAAAAGGCACAAACTTCCCGTAAGCTTTCGTTTCCGTACATCCTACTAAATCGAGTATGGAGATTCATAATCTGAAATCAAAATTTGCTAAATAAGTTTGCAAACTAGTCAAAATTAAAGTGAAATTCCGAGGCTTTAAAGAATTGAAGAAAATGGAATTGTGGCTTTAAAGGACGCTTTTCAATCACTGTACTATGGGCACCGATGGTCTAGTGGATAGTGGAACGGCTTCTCGGTAGGTTGGGGTTCGGCCTCGCTCTTGGTTTTTGTTTTTTGTTCTTTAGATGTAATACTTTACCGGTTTTTACCCGTTCATCGCTCATTGTGGTGTAAATCGTGATTTGAAAAAAAGGCATGCACTTTGCTTTTATCAGATGCTCGCATTTGAAAATTTTTATTGTTTTGGATTCTTCGTGATCTCGTTTCATATACATTAACATTTCACCTTTTTCTTTGTTATATTGAATAGTTACAAGGTAAAGTATCTAAAGGACAAAAACCAAAAACCAAGGTTTTTGGAAACGAACGAAAGCGGGATGGAACCCCAACCTACCGAGAGGTCGTCCCACTATCCACTAGGCCATCGGTCATCGGTGCCCATGTTCCGGTGATTGAAAAGCGTCCTTTAAAGCTTCGGAATTTCACTTTAATTTTGACATATTTGCAAGCTTATTTAGCAGATTTTGATTTCAGATTATGAATCTCCATACTCTATTTAGTAAGATGTGGTCCGGAAAAGAAAGCTCACGGGAAGTTCGTGCCTTTTCCTAGTGAGAAGTATGAACATTGTTTGCTACTCATCTTTGCTAATAATTCAGAGTGCGTTTAACTTTTTGTGGAGTACTAAAATTTTCGTGTGTACAGTAAATAAACGCTGTTTAATAGGAACCACAGTACAATGATCAATACATCGGCGAAGTTTAAAAAACAGTAATTTTAGATATGGCTTATAAACCTTATAAACCTTTCGCTTATAAACCTTATCACGTTTCTCGATCCCCAATTTCACTTCCCTGTTTCTACTCACGAGAGATTGTCGAAATATGCGATAAACATTTTGATTGGTAGAACGAAGTGACCTTCTCTGATCCACGATCATCAACAACACATACTTTTTGTGGATTGGAGGAATTCAATTGTTTTCGGTGAGAGAAAAGTGTTGATTGAACCTGAAAGAGACTGTTTGACGTCAAGAGACAAATTTAGATGATCAGGCCAAACATCGAAAGAGGAGATGGATTATAATCTTTTTTTTGATGACTTTAAAATTGGGTTATAAGGAAAACTCGTGTAACATCTACCGCTCGAAATCTTTAACTTTATAAATATGAAAAATGAATTATGGTTTTTTTAGAAGTTTTGGATATTCGTGACGATAATGAAACATTGAAATTGGTAAAATTCTCTTGACGTCAAACAGTCTCTTTCAGGTTCAATCAAAACTTAAATATGGTAAAAATTGATCAAAAAAAAGATTAAATCAAATGCGGTGTGTTACAAAGCCTTACGAGTACAAGAAAACGTCGAAAGTTTGCGTTTCAGGCATTTTCTAAACATGGAAACTTTCAAACCCAATCTTGCCTCTAGTTTCTCTTCAACTTCTTTTATTTTGCGAGACAAGGATATCGTAAAAGATAGAAACTAGTGCTAGTACAAGTACTAGATTGTACTAGGTGCTAAAAGTACAAGATTAAAATAGCTTGCGAAAGTTGGCATGTTTTAGACAAAAGCAGTAGTTGTGGTTTGGGAAAATAGTTGTAACTGGGATTGACTTTAGTTGTAAAATGGGAGTAAATTCGCCAAGGAAGGTAGTCACAAGTACCATAATCCAAATATGATCCCGAGAGTCGAGAAATTTTAGTCTTGTTGATCTATCAGCAGAGAACGAGCTCATTCTTTTTATACCCTTAAATGCGATCCAAATATTCATCAACAATACGCAATCTTTCTCGCTTTTTGATCATCCCAATCAACACAAGATTTCTTTCACAAAATAATCAACACAAGATTTTTTCGTCATTCCTTTCTAGATCATTAAAATGACAAATCAGGGCCGGTTTCGACAAATAAAGAAAAAAAAAAGAGAGGAGAGCGCGTGTCTCCGAAAAAAAACTTGAGAACTTTTCATTCAATTGAGAAAAAAAAAAAGTTGATTTATAGCTCGAATCGTGAAGTTGAGAAGTTTGATTGAAAAAGTGAACGCCAATGTTTTGAGCGCTCGTTTATAAATCCTAAGGGAGTCTTGTGATTTGAGAAAAAAAATGATGGATTAAATAAACAAGTTGAACAACGTTGACAAGTTGAACTTTGGAAATGATAAAGAGACAAGGAGATTCTGCCTATTTTTGGGAATTTTTGGGAATTGAAGAGAATCCAAAAAAATTCGCTCGTTTTTTTGGAACTGAAACTCGTTTTTTTCTTGTTCTTGAAACACTTGCCAATGGCGATTGGCTTTTTTTTTGGGAAAATCTCTCGCCTATCAGATTTTTCTTCTTTTTCTTCTTGTGTAATCCATCTAATTTTTTGTTTTCGTTTCTATAAACGAGTGAATTTTTCAACAAATACCAAAAATGCCTGCGCGCATACCCGTTTTTCTCTTGTAAACAAGTTGATCACAAAGAATCTTTTCGATTTTTGGGGCTCCATTTGGGTTTGAGCTGATTTTGTTTTGTAAAAAGAGTGACCTTGATAGCTTTTGGTGTTGGCTTTGAATCATTTGAATATTTGAATTAAAATGAACTGTGAATAAGTTAAAGTTAAACAGTATAGACTGTTCTAATGTACTTTCTATATACTTTATATGTACTTTCTATATAGTTTATATGTACTTTCTGCTTGCTATGCACTTTCTATGTACTTTCTGCTTTTTATGTACTGATCTAATGTACTTTCTGGTTTCGAAAATTTCGTAATCTGGCACTGAAAAAGCTGCAACGTGGGGGTTTTCGAGAGGCATTTTCAAAGATTTCAAAGATTGCTAAAAGTATTGGATTGTCATAGATAAAATGTCCGACACTTTGTCATGCCCGTAAATTTTCATTTCACCATAAATTTCTTTCATTTTTTCATATTAATAGGAGTATAAAACAAAGTAATTTTAAAATTTGAGCCAAAGTGGATCGACTGGGAACGGTCAGCTCAAAAAAATCAAATTTTTAAGAACGTAAAATTCGGTCCACCACCATGAAAGCATATGATATTTTTGAGATTATTTAGATTAATATTAGAGGTATCTTGTGTCAAAATTTTCAAGAATTCTATGCTGGGATAGCCGAGAAAATCGCGAGATTGGTTCTCATCTCGAGCGAAACATTTTTACGAAACGGCCTCGTCACGTTGAAACACGGTATCCCGTCAATACTGCCAAGTTAAGCAACGTTGGCTCGGTTAATCTCTGGTTCGAATCCAGCAGATGAATCAGGGATATCTTCCCTGAAACGAGTGCTGTAGGTAACTGGTTCCCAAGACCGGTCCCCCCTAGGCCATATGGTGAACTAGTTCCCAAGACTGGTTGGGCTCGGTTAGTCTCTGGTGCGGATCCAGCAGATGAATCAGGGATATCTTCCCTGAAACGAGTGCTGTAGGTAACTGGTTCCCAAGTCCAGTCCCTTCTAGGCCATACGGTGACCTGGTTCCCAAGCCCGGCCCCCTAGACCCCTACTCCTCGGAATGGGATAACCAGGGATTCAAATGGGTAGACTTGTCTAAGGCGCAAGCTCATATAAAGCGGGTAGCCTTCTCCTTCTACATCGTTTCCTACATCGTCCCATCCTCACAAATTATAGAATACTCCCTAGGTCTTAAGGTGTAAATTGTGATTATGTGTGTGCGAAATAAATCACCGTTAACCCCGGTATACTTTATTATTATGTAGGAGACGATGTAGAAGGAGAAGGCTACCCGCTTTATATGAGCTTGCGCCTTAGACAAGTCTACCCATTTGAATCTACCCATTTGAATCTACCCATTTAAATCTACCCATTTAAATCTACCCATTTAAATCTACCCATTTGAATCTACCCATTTGAATCTTCCCATTTAAATCTACCCATTTAAATCTACCCATTTGAATCTACCCATTTGAATCTACCCATTTGAAAGGTTATCCCAATTATTATAGAAAGGGGAATGGGACTTTTGCGAGACTATTGAGCGCAAATCCTCGAAAATGATCGAGTTTATATTGTCGATTGATTAAATGAATGTAAATAAAAATATTAGATGGTTTTTGTTTGTTTAAAAAATACAAGAAACTTTTTGTCCTTTGTGTGAACATCCATGCGCACACAGCCGCTTCAGTTACCCAAGTTGGGGTCAATTTAAAACCCGAATTTCTCAGCTATCCCACCATAGAATTCTTTAGAATTTTTGGCACAAGATACCACCAATGCTAATCTAAATACCCTAAAATTCCATAGATAAGAGCGGTTTAATTTTTGCAAAAATTTTTTTAAATATTTTAATTTATTATAAAACCAAACAACAACAATAACAACAAAAGTAACAATAATTTAACTAATATTTTCAATTTCTACATCATCATCATCATCGTTTATATCCATACAGGAAAAATCGTTTTTGAGATTTTCAACATCACACAATGCTTTTTCAAAGCTGTGTATGATAGTGTCAGAAGAGATGGAAAAAAAAAAACTTTCGCTGACCAAAAATGCTGCTTCTTGGTAGCTCATTCTTTTTCTGATCCCGCTTTTTGTATAATTTGCATTGGCTTCGTTTGCCATTCATTTTTCTATTTTTTAGCGAAAACCGCTCTTATCTATGGAATTTTAGGGTAATATCAAAAAAATAAAAGAAATCTATCGTGAAATGAGAATTTATGGGCATGACAAAGTGTCGGTCATTTCAAATTTCATTTCATATCTGAAAACTTAATATTATTCATGCATCATTTAATTTTAATGTAGATAAACATTAAAAAAAATAGCTCAAAGACCTTTTTAA